CAACGAGCCACAGGCGAGTGCTGTTATTCATCAAGTGAGTTATTATGACCATTACCGCAAGTTAAATACTATACTTTATCTACGACTATTACAATAAATACTAAGTTACAAGTACAGAGAAAGAACTTTATAGACATATTTTGATATAAATTTTAGATTTAATCACTCATTTTGTTTATTGAAAAAATTAACTGTGAAGTTTGAACAACCAGCTAGTAAACTGAATATGTGGAACTGAATTACGATTGAGCTGAAAATTTGTATATACATTCAGTTTGGATGACAATGCACGATAAGGTGTGTCACGTTATTCTAAATCCAATATGGCGGAATAACTATTTTTTATATACTTTCACAATATGGGTATCAAATGAAACGGCTCGTTGAGAGTAACTCGAAAAATGATGTGACGTCATTCTAAATCGAATATGGCGGACCATCCAAGATGGCGGAATGGTCATTTTTAATCTACTTCTACAATATGGGTATCAAATGAAAGGGCTCGTTGAGAGTAATTCGAAAAATAATGTGACGTTATTCTAAATCCAATATGGCGGACCATCCAAGATGGCTGAATAGCTATTTTTGATATATTTTTACAATATGGGTATCAAATGGAAAGGCTCGTTGAGAGTAACTCGAAAAATGATGTGACGTTATTCTAAATATCCAAGATGGCGAAATTGCTATTATTGATATACTTTTAAAATATGGGTATCAAATGAAAAGGCTCGTTGAGAGTAACTCGAAAAATGATGTGACGTCATTCTAAATCGAATATGGCGGACCATCCAAGATGGCGGATTGGTCATTTTCAATCTACTTCTACAATATGGGTATCAATTGAAAGGGCTCGTTGATTTGATATATCGGTATTAACAGGCTGATTTTAGGCTAATTAATTACCCTATTTTCGAATTTTTTGTTCGATGTTTCAAACTAAAAAAAAAAACGAAACGATTCGTCGAAATACGCGTTTATTCACTATATATATGTACATCATGCATATTTATCAAAAGCATAGTTTATGACGATTTTTGAAGACAAAGTGTTGGTATTGATTATGAGCTCAATATCTATTGCATTTTGGAATTTTTTGCTACATATTTTTTCTAAGAAACCTGTCGCTTTGCTGGCTTCTCTAGTATGCTGAGTTCGCTTGAAGCATAGACTTGAAGCCAGCAGAGCCACAGGTTTCTTTTAAAAAATATGCAGAAAAAAATTCAAAATGCGATAGTTATTGAGCTTATAATCAATACCAACACTTTGTCTTGAAAAATCGTCATAAAATATGCTTTACATAGAAATACATGATGTACAGTAAATGACGCGTATTTCGACAAATTGTCTTGTATTTTTTCTGTTTGAAACGTTGAGCAAAAAATTCTAAAATAGGGTAATTAATTAGCCTAAAATTAGCCTTTCAATACCGATATATCAAATCGGTGAAAAATATAATATTTTCAAAAACGGCTCTGCTGAGTTCGCCCGAAGCCAGCAAAGCCACAGGTTTGTTATAAAAAATATGCAACAAAAAATTCCAAAATGCAATAGTTATTGAGCTCATAATCAATACTAACACTTTGTCTTGAAAATTCGTCATAAAATATGCTTTTGATAAATATGCATGATGTATATAGTGAATAAACGCGTATTTCGACGAATCGTTTTGGTATTTTTTAGTTTGAAACATCGAGCGAAAAATTCGAAAATAGGGTAATTAATTAGCCTAAAATTAGTTCTTCAATATGGATATATCAAATCAGTGAAAAATATATTATTTTAAAGCCAGCAAAGCCACAGGTTTCTTTTAAAGAATATGTAGCAAACAATTCCAAAATGTGATAGTTATCAAGCTTATAATCAATATGAACACGTTGCCTCATGAAATCGTCATAAAATATGCTTTTGATAGAAAAACATAATGTAAAGTGAATGACGCATATTTCGACAAATTATCCTGTAGTTTTTCTGTTTGAAACGTTGAGCAAAAAATACGAAAATAAGGTAATTAATTATCCTTAAATTAGCCCTTTAATCTCAATATATCAAATCGGTGAAAAATCTATGTTTTCAGAAATGGCTCTGCTGAATTCGGCCGAAGCTAGCAAAGCCACAGATTTTTCTATGATAGAGAGGAGCAAGAAGATTGGGAATAGGGTAATAAAGTATAGCCTAAAATGAGCACTACATTCTCACTATATCAGATATTAAAAAAATATTGTTTTTCAAAAATGGCTTTGCTGAGTTCAGCCGAATAGCTAGCAAAGCCACAGATTTTTCTATGATAGGGAGGAGCAAAAAATTCGGGAATGGGGTAATAAATTAGCCTAAAATGAGCCTAAAATTATGAGATGTGTCTCATGGTGAAATTCGAAAGTGGCTTTGCTAGCTTCATTGGTATCCATCTTTTGATATAGGTCAATAGAGTTGAGGTCACACATACTGAACTACCCTCAAAAAATGGTAACTCATATGCTGCTTCTTTCTGAAAGGTTATGTTTTCCACCCTGACATGTAGAATTTGTATTCTTTGGCCTGTAGCTACAGCTAATAGAACTGCCAATTTTCTTGACAATTCTAAAAAGGATAAACTCTCATTAGTACCCAATGAAGATAAATGATCCAACACTTTTTGAGGCTCCCATGTGATGTCATATTTAGGTATTGGAGGTAGCAATCTCAAAACACCCTTGAGAAATCTCCTTATAAGGGCATGTTTTCCAATTTCCTTTTGAAGAATTAGATAGTGTGCTGACCTATGCTGGTTGAAGGTTCCATATTTTGCCCTAGAACGACCCAACTCATATTGCATGAATGACAATATAGTGGATATTTCTGCTTCAAAAGGATCTGCTTTTTTATTCAGACAGAATGACCACCATGCCTCATAAGAGGAATTTTACTGTCTCATTGTTGATTCAGATATAGACTGCATCAAGGTGTGGATTGTTTCCTCTGAATGGCCTTTTCTTAAAAAAGCTTGCCGGACAATTTGCCTGCCACCAGGAAAAGGGTGGCATGCAGTGGATGTGTTTTCATGAAAGGGGAGGAGAGTAAATATTTATTAGGTTCGAATATGACTATCCATTTTTCAAAATTTATTGTGAAACCTAGAGAAATCAATAAATTCATTGACTTTTGTACATGCTCCTGGCAAATTTCTTCAGTAGATGCCATTATACAAAAATCATCAAGATATGCCACACAAACAATGCCCTGCTCTCTCAAATTCCTAACAATAGGTTTGTTGAGCTTGGTGAAAATGTAATTTAGTTTAGTTTATTTATTGGCAAAGTATTACACTAAAGTGCTTTTACAGGTCAGATATATAAAAAAGAGAGAGAAAAAATGTTACAATAGATATAAAATAGTAAAAAAATTACAAATAGTAGGACAAAGCTTATTAGGTAAGATACTAATGGTAGCAATACATAGTAAAACAACATCACAAAATAGACTTTCTAGATACTCCTGGATGGAATAGAAGGCATTTTTCAAAAGATTCGTTTTGACTTTGGATTTGAAATAGTTGAAATCTCTAACCTGTGGTAGCTCAGGACTAAATTATCTCTATTCCTAGTTGAATATGAGTGGATATCCCTATGTGATTTGAAGTCTACTAGGTTCCGTTTTATGTGGATTAGACAACAAAATATAAAAGTACAAGGAAGTGTAAGGAGTCTCCATACCATACAAGTGAATTCATATAAGGTATCATTTACTTTTGAAATGTAAATATTTCCTAAACTTTTCATGAACTGGGATATGTAAATAAGCATCCTAGAGATCAAAGGTTGCCATATAGTTGTTTCTTTTAATCAGCTTCATGACTGTTCTACTGTCCTCCATTTTAAAATGGAGTGGATTGAGTTCTTTTAGGTTAAGGATGAACCTTGCCTTACCATTGGATTTTTTTATCAAAAAACATGGTGAGACAAACTGGGATACTGCTTCCTTGCATTCAACAAGCTGCTCCCAAATCAAGAAGGTGATTTACTTCTAACATCAATTCCCTGCATTCATTTTCAGAATGATTCCCACTGTGTAACAAAGCCTTTGGTTTTTTAACAAAAGGAATCTTGTAACCAGATATCCATTTCAGGATTTCTGGATGTGGTGATAGGATGGACTTCCATTGATTTTTGGAAAACCTCAAACTACCTGCAAAGAGAAAAAAACTTACCTTTCTATCTACTTCCAAGTGGGAGGCTGATGATGTTTTTTGGTTTGGAGATATTGCCCCTTCTGTCTGTGATCTCTCCTGTATCCAGGCCCCTCCAGTTTAAAGAATCACCTCTTTTATATGTACCACTACCTGATGAGTTTGTACTTGGTAGTTGATTACTAGGCTTCTTGAATACAGTGTCTGTTTTTGGTTTGAGATCTATAACTGATCTCTCAACAGCTTTTGCTGTTTTTATACGCTCACCTAGGTTTGATCCAAATAACAGCTCCTCAATAGGTGCTGCACTAGTCAGCTCTTTGACAGTTTTACTCAACATTGGTGTAATGAGGGCTCTCCTAGTCAGTGACATATTGTTAGTGAACATCTGTCAACAATTTTCCTGACTCACTAAGAAGGCCAAGAACTGTGTTCTTGTTTTCTTTATTATCCTCTTCCTTCAAGAGGATGTTGATACCAGCCCCTAGGGCAGCAAGGCCCTTTCCTAACTGGCTCTGGTTCAGCTGTTGTAACTTGTATTTCTTATGTGTATTTGAAGGCATACTACTTTCCTGGCTATATGCCACGCAGAACATTGGATTACATTGTCCGCCATTTTAGAGCCGCCGTGCCATTTTGTTTTTAGTGTCTAACAAAAATTTCATGATGCAATGCTACCAGAATTATGTACACCTGCCAAATTTCAAATCAATCGGTCCTTTCAAAGTGTGTCAAAATCTAGTCCAAAGGACATACATACAGGTGAGGTGTTAATAATAGGGAAACAAAAACAATCACCACCCTCAAAAAATATCGATTAATTAAAGCCGAAACTAATCGATATTTTTCCCTTTATTACCAAGCAAAAACATCTCGAACTCCCTCAATTCAATAACGTTCTCCCATCATGAGCACCACTAGCGCCGACCACCCTGTAAACGGTTTGCACCCGCTCCCCTCCCCAGTCCTGTCATTATACTGCTCCCACACGAACCCCGTCTCGAAATACCTCCGCATCACGTTGCCCACCACGTTCTCCCTCAACTCCCCGTAAACACTTTGTGCTTTCACCCTGTACGGCCCTTCCACCCTCGCGTAGTGGTGAAGGGCACGCAGAGCGAGAAAGTTGACGTTGATCCAGATCTGGCCCCGCCAATAGGGCGGATCGTGCTCGGTGTTTCGGCGCATGTACAAAGGGCTGCTTTTGGAGAGGGAGCGAAGCCCGAACGGCGTCCACAGCAGCTCGGGGTTCCGCAAATCCTGCAACGATATACAGGGTGATTCATTGGGAAATGGGCATACAGTAAGGGTGGATGGAGCATAACAATTTGCCCGTAGTCGCTCCTTAAGGAAACCTCGTCCCTTGAGGCATCCATAAGGGTCCAATTGAACCTCCGTGCAAGAACCGGGTAACTCCATTTTATGCCAAAATTGGGTTATTGTATTCAACATATACAGGGTGTTTCAAAAAAACCCTGTCGAATTTTTACTTGCGCATCTTTTGGTGCAATCAAGCGAATCCAACAATTTCCTATCAAGTTAACACGAGAAAGGATTTACCTGATGAGCCATTGAGGTGCAAGGGTCGGGCAACTGCAGGAGTTACCCGATTTTAGCAATGAAATGTGAGCCATGACGGTGCTAAAGTCGGGCAACTCCAGGAGTTAACCGATTTTAGCACCGAAATTAACGCGTGTAGTGGGAGATGTCAGAGTGACGTTATTAGCGGCAAGCCTTCCCACGTCTTCCATTGTGTGTGGCGTGATTAGTTTGATCATTTGTTTCATGCAATACAATGTAATGTCGTCGGAAAGTGAAAGTGAGCCCTTTCAAGATTCGGGGAGTGAATATGTTCCAAAAACATAACTGTTGACGAAGAGGACCCACATTGTGGCAATGTTAACGAAGATCAAGACGCAGGAAACGTCAGTGATTCTTCCTATGTTCAAAATACTATTTGTTTACAATATTTTTCGTTATATATTTCATTTTCAATAAAAAAGCAAAATTATTACACGAGTTTGACTATATTTTCAGAATTTTGTCTTTTTGGGGCAAAAAACAGGCAACTCCATTTTTTCAAACGTCTTTTTTAGCTTCTACAATGTAAGTGAAAATTAGTATCTAAGTAAATACAGCTTATCTTACGTAACTCTAAAGGATTCATACCATTTAGCATATTTTTTTTTCTTTTTCTCAAAAATATCGAGTTTTTATCCATTCCCCAACATTTTCAAAAATTGGAGTTGCCCGGTTCTTGCACCGAGATCTTCAATTTATAGTCGTAATATGAGCTCAAAGGAAGCCTCAAGGAAATGTCAATTCCAAGGAAGGTAAAGAGGTACCTTGAGCATTCCTTGATCCAATTTCTAGTATTATTTCAGGTAATGTTATGAATTTCATGAATGGAATGATGAAATTGAATACAGGGTGGTTCAAGATTCAGAATTCTGATCACCCTGTATCTGTTCCAATTAAATGTTAGTAGATAGTAAATCACAAGTTGAGATAGGGACATGAGAGCCGTTTTGACCAATAATGAATAGTTTCGACACAAAAAAATGATCAGGTTGAAAAATCTCGATTTTGAACACTTTATATCCCTAAAACCATTACAGCTAGACCCCAAGTGTGATGTATTGATGAAATCAGATCTTCGGGGAAAATCTAAAAATGCAATAAAATACAAGGTGTTCCATTTTGAAATAACAAAGTTGTTGCTTCTTTTCGTTAGAAGCAGCAACGTCGCAGGGCTGAAAATATTTTAGAACGATGTCCCCCTCGAAAATGTAGTTGACGTGTTTCAGATATTTTTAAAAAGGCTTTTAGTTTAGGAAATATCGAATTTGTTCCATACTTTACGGACACAGTGTATGGCCCATCGCCTATACGATATCTCAACAAAAATGGGACCAGAATGAGAGGTACTTTTTGAATCTATAAGGACGGAGAGTGAAGGATGGAAACAGCCTTATATTGGTTTGACAAGTTTCGTATTATTTTTTCCCTACGTCCCATAACTCCGATTAACTTGAAATTTGGCAGGTGTTCATAATTTCGGTGACAATATATTATGGAATTTTTGTTGAAATAAAAAAAAATGGTTGCTCCAAAATGGCGGACAAGATTTGGTCCGATTCCATACAAAATTGGTAAGTGGGGGTTTTTGAGGTCGGAGATCATGATTTTTTTGTTAAAATTTATAAATTCAAGATGGTAGCTTCCAAATAATTTTTTGTTTTTGTATAAATGACGATAACTCCGCTGTTATTAACACAAAACTATTATTGCGACATATCATCTGTAAGTGAAAAAAAAGTTATCTGTAACTAAGTCATAGTGAGCTATGACCTACATTTGAAAAACTAAAGTTGGTGCTGATATCTCAAATTCTAGAAGAGTTGGTATAAATTTCATATTTTTTTCGAAATCACTTTGAAAAACGGCCATGAGAATGTGAAATTCCTATTTGAATATTTTCATAAACAAAGAAGTTACAGATGAGACATGAAAATGATCAAAATCTGTTTTTTGCGTATACAACAAAAACGAATAGATTTTATCAAAATATTTTTTCACATTATAGTTGTCATTTAACCGACCTCGTATCTCTCACCGTTATAAAGATACCCATGGTGAGCATGGTAAGTGGGACACACTGTATATTAATAGTAGATACTGGCGTAAATTACTTGACGTTTGAAAATTACCATGGCGTTATTGATGATTTTAGCATGTAAAATCGACCGAAAAATTCTTGAAAAATATGGAATCGAAAGGTATTTGAGTGATGCCGTGCTAGATTTTGTTAAGAAAACTGTTGAAGCCTTGGATAGATCAGAAAAATGTTTGGCCATATTTCTCGACCTAGCCAAGGCATTTGACACTGTGGACCACGGTATGCTATTAGAAAAACTGCATGGTTATGGTATACGAGGACCAACATTTATGATATTGCAAGACTATCTATCACATAGGACACAGAGGGTGAAGATTGATAATAATTTGAGTGAAGCAATGGAGGTTAAAACAGGAGTACCACAAGGCACAGTTTTGGGACCTATATTGTTTCTTGTTTATATCAACAGCATCAGCTTCATAAATAATTTTGAGGGACATATTATCTCATACGCAGATGATACACAGCAGTTGTATTCACAGGTAAAAGTTGGTTCGAAGTATTTGAAAAGTCAGAGGAGGGATTAAAGGATATCCAAATGTGACTCAACTATAATCTTTTGAGCTTGAATGTCAATAAAACAAAATTTGTCACATTCTCTTTACTGAAAAGTGAACAACCAGAGCAAAACAAAATCCATATTCATGAAGACTGTTCCACTCCAACAAGTTGCGATTGTGCTGTCATAGAAAAAACAGAAAATATCAAGTATCTAGGCGTGATTGTGGAACAGCATTTGAGGTGGGATGAACATGCAAGTTATGTTATGAAAAGACTCAGACAGTTGATCAAAAAGTGTTACGAATTGAGAGATATCCTAGATAAAAAAAATTTGATCACAGTATACACATCCCTAGCCGAATCAGTGATAAGGTACTGTATCTCAGCCTGGGGTGGACTTTTCAACAATTCCTTGAACCCACTCCAAACAACTCAAAATACAATTTTGAAAATTCTGTTTAAAAAGCCCAAATTGTTCTCTACTGAAAATCTCTATAAAGAAATACACTTACTGAAGATGAGGGAAATTTATATATATCAGTGTTTAACTTGGGTTTTCATAAACAAATATTCTCTTCAATCTATATACAAAGAAAAACAAACGAGATTCGTGACCAATTCATCCATGAACTTACCTGTATTCAAGAAAAGCCACACACAGAGATGTATCTTCTATCATGGTCCTAAATTATTCAATCTCTTACCAGTAAACATAAGAAATATTAGCAACATCAATAAATTCAAACAAACAATCAAAAACTTCATTAGACTCAATCATGAAAGGTTCAATATATTTAATTGAACCTGCATGCATGTGCATATGTGTGTATGTGAGAGAGGGTGTGTTTGTGTGTTTAAGGTATATAATAAATACCAAAGTACTGGTCCTAAAATTTTAAAATTAGTTACAGGATGTTTAGCCAATTCTCATTGTTATCTCTTTCATTAGTTTTCTCTTTGGTGTAAATTGTGGGGTGACTTGGGTGTCAATTTTTCGTTTTGCAAAAATCTCCTAATTTCGTTCATGTGTTAATCACGTAGGCAACTTTCGAATGCCTTTAGTGGGGGATGGAGAGCACAACACAAGCAAATGAATTGCTTAGGTGCATTCATCCCTCCACAAAGGGTTGTAAAGTGAACAATGTAATATGGAATGATTTTGTATAATATTACTGAGAATAAACTTGAAACTTGATGATTCAATTTAAGACATAAAAAAAATGTACACTCGCCTATTTCCTGATCTGTAAAATAAATAGGTATACATGCCTGCAGAATCCGGCCCAGTTTGGGCGAATCGGGGCGCACCAAGTGCAACAGAAAAGGAAACAGGCCGACGTAGCCGAAAGTGGAGTCGACCAACCGGTGCTCGGGCGTCTTCAGCACCGACCTGCGCATCTCCAGGTTCCGGTTTTGGGAGCGCGGCAGCGGCGTCGGTCTTGTCAGTTTGACGGCGTCGGTGTGCAGTCCGTAGTCGGCGTAGACATTGGCGTACTCGGACCAATGGAGGGAGTCCAGCAACTGCAACAGATACACTCACACACCTCAGACATCGATCAAAATGGGGCCGGTTGCTTAAAGCAGTAAACAGACGATTAAATATTTAATTTGTTTGTTTTCAAAGCAACGTATTCCTCAGCTGATGAGTTAGAAGAGTTGATTCCTCGTTAAGTTAACAGAGAGCTTTATGCAACCGGACGTTAATCTCCTACCCCGACAATCCCCTGATACTACTTTAATCAGATCATGATTACAAAACCTGTCCGCCATATTGAATTTTTCAACTTTCACAAGAGCATCATAATCTCCGACCTCGTAAACCCCCACATACCAATTTTGAATAGAATCGGATCATATAATTACAAAACTCGTCCACCATATTGGTTCCGCCATCTTGAATTTTCATCTCCGATCCTGAAAACCCGCAGATACAAATTTTGAATAGATTCGGATCATGATTACATAACTCATCCGCCATATTGGATCTGTCATCTTGAATTCACCAAATTTGACGAAAGAATCATTATCTACGATCTTGTGGACCCTCAGATACCAATTTTGAATAGAATCGGATCATACAATTACAAAAAATCTCGCGGGCCATATTGGATCTACCATCTTAAATTTCCAAATTTGACGAAAGTAGAATAATTTTCGACCCCGAAAACCCCAGAAACAAATTTTGAAAAGAATCGGAACCAAATTACAAAACACGTCCGCCATATTGGATACGCCATCTTGAATAGAATCAGTGACTTGACGGTGACGCAAGATGACGATGACGCGAAATTCAATATTTTTCTTCATCCAAAAAAGTGCTGAACGCGTCTAAAGAAGTGTTCACTTCAATAATAATTTACTACAACAAAAGAAACAATGAATTTCAAAACAAAAATGAGTTATTCTGTATTCATTCCACATGGATTTTTTGTTGAGCCCTGTCTTTAGATGGACCAATTCAAGTAGTATTGAATTCATGCATTTGGTTAAGCAGAAGGCTGAAACGTCAATGTCATTCGTGATTAATTCACTAAATAGCAAAAAGTCTGAAGTCTGAAGGGTATCTCCCATGCAGTAATGAATTTGCGCCTTCGAAGTGTCCACCGGATGTAAGGTTAGATAATATGTCATTTTCATTTCATCATCTAAATAATCCGAGTCTCAAAAGACGTTCTCTAATAATAATTGTTTTGTTGTGTATTTTATCACCATTACAATTTTTGAATAATTGCATTTTTTAAGCCATGAAGAAAAAAACGATCAAACATTGTTGTTTTGAAAATACAGGGTGTTCCTTAAAGACATGCTAATATTCGAGGGGGTGATTCTTTGACTCATTTAAAGAAGAAAACTTCATATGAACGTATGTCCTAAAAGTCTTAATTTTTGAGATACAGGGTGATGAAGTTTTGAAAAAAATTCAGTTTTTTTATACTGAGACAATATTGTATACATCTGCATGAAATTTGATATACGTCTTTTAGGCATCAAGGTGCATTTTCTGATGTGCAAAAATTTTCATTTTCTCTACCAGTGGCACCGTTACGGAAATATTATTGTTTATATTTTACTTAAAAGTGAGCAACGACAACAAATTTTCAAATTTTATACAATGTCATGAAAGGCTATTCAATTATGTTCAAAAGAGATCCTGTCGTTGATACTCGATAGAACGCTTCGTTTTCGAGAAAAAACCGAAAAACGAGACCGGACCTCAAATTTTGATGTCTGAGTACTCCATTTAGGACATCCATTACTGGATAACCACAGTATGTAACTTCTCGAAATTTGTATACCAATTTAGTCACATGGCAGACTGAATTTTGCCATCACGAATAGCTATACAGGTTGGACAAAAAAATAATCTATGCATATTTTCAACATTGACACCCTGTACCTCAAAAGTTAGGACGTTTACGACATACATTCATATAAAGTTTTATTCTTCAAATGGGTCGAAGAATCGGCCCCATGAATATTTGCATATCATCAAGGAACACCCTGTATAGCAATGAATATTATACAACAGAACATTAATAATTCAATTTAGTGATGAATTTTTGCAATTATTACACTAACCTCGTTGTCAAAGAGATACTCAGCCGTCTGCCGATACCGACGGCCGTCGATCGCCAGCAAATCGGCTAGCCGTGCCATGACGCGTGCCGCGACGGCCATCCAGCAATACAAGTCCACGTGACGTTCTGAAGCGTCGGGATGGGAGGCGCGCGGATAGTCGTCCAAACCGGAAGTCAACGTTTTCGGATTGAGTTCGAGTTGGGAATCGGCATCGCGGCCGCGCCATCTGTACGAGCCGGCTGTAGCGCCTTTTTGCGTCGAGTTAAACCAGGCGTACCATGCCTGGAGATCAGACGAACAAATAGAATGCATATGCGAAATTATACGTGTAAGTGGTGTTGTACTACACCTCTTTCAATTGTAATTCAGAAAGTGTAACTTGTAATTCAGATTAGTAAAATGTAAGTCAGGAAGTGTAACTCGTAATTCAGAATAGTTAATTGTGATTCAGAAAGCGTCAATTGTAATTCAAATTAGTCAATTGTAATTCAGAATGTATAACATGTAATTCAGATTAGTGAAATGTAATTCAGAAAGTGTAACTTGTAATTCAGAATAGTCAATTGTAATTCATAAAGCGTAATTTGTAATTCAGAAAGCATCACTTGTAATTCATAAATAATATGGGCTCAAATAAGGGTAGAGAATAGAAATCAATGAATGGTTTATTGTGTGGTAAACATCAATATTTTATATCTATCGACCAATGGGCATATCTTGAAATGCCAGAGCAAATTCTACAATTATCTTTGAAATTCATAATCTCACTTGTATGTGATAAAACAACAATATCTGTGCAATTCTTTTCAATTGCGATTTATTTGACATTTATGTGATATTTCGTAGTTACTTTCTATGACAACATGGCTTTGATTGTTGTTAACTTGATTTACGTTAAAAGTCTCAAGGAGAATGGATGCATACGGGGTATTTCTGACTCATAAGTGATACTTTATGAATTACAAGTTATGCTTTCTGAATTACAATTGACGGTTTCTAAATTACATTTCACTATTCTGAATAACAAGTTACACTTTCTGAATTACATTTCACTAATCTGAATTACATATTACGCTTTCTGAATTACAATGAACTAATCTGAATTTCAAGTTATACTTTCTCAATTACAATTAACTATTCTGAATCACAACTTATACTCATCTGAATTACAATTGAAAAAGGTGTAGAGAAAATTTCGATTTTTCACAGCAAGATACCATCCACACAACACCCTGCAGAGATGTTTCCAAAGTTCTGGGAATTGTGCTATAATTAAATTAGGCAGAACTTATTGACAATGTTATTGGTGCCAGCCCAGTCTTGATAATGTTTGAATAACTATCTAGTGAGTGCAATATTGTTTCGTATTTCTTTTTTTTCCTACCTGTAATCGTGGATACAGTCTATCTAAAACGGCGAGCCTGTCATCCGTCAAAGAGTCTTCGAATCGATCGAGGATATGATCCAGGGTCAAAAAGAATGTGGGCGGATTGGCGTTGGTGTTCTTTTGCACTACGAATTCGGCGGGCACTTTGGCCAAAGCTTCAACGCCCAAAATTTGTTCTCGCGGTATCCAACCTAAACACATTTTCATATGTAATACCACAAGTGATACTATTTTGTCGGAAATATTCGGCGATTGTTACAAAAGCTTGTTGCCTAATAATTTCGCGAATGAAATTGTTTATCAAAATTTTTGGATCAATGTCATGAGCGAAATTAAAGCAGCAAGCTGGAGTATATCAGTCGACAGATATTTCCAGGAAAAATAGTATCACGAGTTGTATTCGTATGACTATTTCATGATTGAGACAATAAACGAGCGCCTCGCGAGAGATGCGCACACTGCATCCACCATTCTGGCTTCCAACATGTTTGACGTTCTGAATGTCGAAAATTTTATCGCTGAAAACGAGATTGGTTGGTCACGTGAAACCGACATATTCATTTCAAATTTCGTCGAAGATGCCTCGGAATTCCCAGTACCTACTTCTTACTTTCAATTTAGAAATTTTATCGATATTTGTTCAAATGTGAAAATTCCGATTTATAGGAATTCCAGTGCACACATTTTCCCTCAGTGGTCACCTCCTCAAAATTCGCTTTCCAAGAGGGCGGAAATAACACAATTTAGTAAACCATTCTTTACCCTCAGCATTCATCAAGTCGAACCAGTGGCTGATGATGTCCAATTCGACGTCCACGTCCCATTCTGATATCAAAAGTCCGTGGAAACCTTCGTCCCAAAGAAATCCTCTGGGGAAAAAGCTCCTAGAAAGAAATCGCATAATGTTTGAAGTGATGATATAGCCTGATCAAATGGTGTTCAATACTGCTTGGCTTGTAACTTGAATCCAGTAGAAAGTTTCTCAACGGGATCATGTTTCTAGGCGTCCGGAAGCTAATCTGAACTTTGTTGACTCGTAGCAGACCCGGGTCAGGTCAAAAAATCTGAAAATGTTCGGAGTTTTCCGGTTTTCCAGTGATATCTTACAAACGACTTACCGGACAAAAAATATCACAGTATTCAAAGTTTAACAGTATGAAAGTCTGCGTCGAATGATGCCTCTATCTTCCTTATTCCCAAATTTATAAGCTGAATTTTAAAATCGATCTATCTCGAAAATGGTGAATGCTATCAAAACTAAACAGGACTACCCTTTATAAGTAAATATAAACATAGGAAAAACTCAAAAGTCTCACTCCAAGTGGATTTTAATAAATTCGCTACATGTTTCGACTCCTAGGAGTCATCATCAGGCTAAAATACATAAACTCATAGTTACTAGAAATTCCATCACTATTGGAGAGAAACGAACAAAATTGAATTGTGAACATAGTTCACCAAGGCCTAATCAGCCGCATTTTTTTTCAAGAATATTTTTGAATTTGGGTTTCCTGAGACCCCAGATGAACATTTCTACCCAAGTGCTTATTTTCTGCTTCCAAAATGAGCCCTCAAGCAGAAATCTGGGAATCCAAATTGAGTGGAGTGAGACTTTGAGTTTTTCTAATGATTATCTCATCACCTCCAATTTGAGCAAGGACTAATACCAGATAAAAAAGAATGCCAAAAATTCCATTATCAACAAATTTGGGAGAAGAAGTTCCCCAAGTCCCACCTATTTTCCATGCGCCTGATCAAAATTTTTGAAAATTCTTACCATTTCCGAATCGGGCATAAAAAGTTAGGTACATATAGTACAAAATTTGGTTATGTCATCACCGAGAGTTCCGAAAATATTAACATAAGGCACAGATCCGACCTGTCCTGGAATACTGCTCCCATATTTGGAGTGCAGCACCCAAACATACTCTGAAACTGTTGGATTCTGTTCAAAAAAGGGCAATTCGTCTCTTGGGTGATGCATCGCTCAAAAACTCACTCACTTCTTTGGAACACCGTAGAAAAGTGGGTGATCTGGCTCTATGTAATAGATATTTCCATGGACGATGTTCTTCTGAAATATCAACAATTGTTCCCCCCTTGGCAGTCCCCGCGAGATTAACCCGTCGAGTTGAGGCTTCGTACCCCTTCGTGGTCACTTTGGAGACCTGCAGAACATCTCTTTCCAAAAACTCGTTCATCCAAAGAACAGCGAGGCTCTGGAACACATTGCCAAGGGAGGTGTTCACCGAGGCATATAACCTCAAGAAGAACACCAATTCTTACCTTATTTCCCTTGGTTCTCACGATGTTCTTTGAACATTACAGGATATTCCTTTTCGTGGGAACCAGAACATGAAAAAAATTATCTCGGGCCCTCCTTCAGATGCCTATAACCCCCAGGGGGCCATTTCTAGATCCATATTTACATGAACTATTTTGACTATTCTCGTTCCTAGAATCTGTGGTTGAAATCTTTGTATGTAATATTGATCCGAATATGAATTTTTTGTGCCCACTCAACTAAAAATGTTATGCTTTATAGCTTGTATCCTATCAAGTTATTCACGCAAAGAAGATAGCTAAAAGTGAGTATATTGCAGTTTTCACAAAAGTTGGTGAAAGCAGGCTTATTTCGAATGACGATAGCGATCTTATAAAATTGGGAATAAGAAAGATAGAGACGTCATTCGGTACAGAATTTTGTGCTCTTCATTTTTGAATACCATGATATTTGAGAAACCTTCTACCGGATTATTGTTTTCGAAAAAATACCATTTGATCGGACTAAAAAAAGAGGTGGGTTACCTCGAAGGTACTGCAGTGTAAAGAGGTGCTCTCCAATAGTTGACAGGCTCTTCGCTATAAGTACTCTGAACTTTTGAAGCACCATAAAAATATCCAATTCCGCCCACCATATTGCTCAAAGCAGCTTGGGCAAATGCAATGTGCTTTTCACTATACCTACAATGAATCTTTGTACAGAGTGATTGTTTATATTTCACTCGATAATATTGATTTTACAAAAACGTTCATGAATACAGCATGTCTCACTTTTACCTTCCCCCCTCAATATCAAAGCTATTAGTCTTGCGATTCTTATTGAAATAAAATGAGTCGATTTTTTATGAAATCTTATTAGGCATTTTTGGTTTGGTATAACTAGGTAAATATTTATCAGAAAACTTTCATTATTTTATTTCTACTTCTTTTTAGTTTTTTAATCAATAAAAGCGGGGTTTTTTAGTTTTCCAAACTACTCCTTTTATTTTCCACTTCTTTTTAGCTCGGTACTCTATACCTCTTCATTTTTTCAAACTACTCCTTATTTTCTACTCACTTCTTTTTAGTTTGGCTATCTATAAAATGGTGTTTCATTAGTTTTTCAAACTAATATTTATTACAATAGCTGATACCCGGCAAACGTTGTTTTGCTATATACAATTATTATTTCTAGAAAATATTTTCTTAGTTAAATATTCATCAAAATACTTTTATTATTTTGTTATCTAATTCTTCTCCGACCCCGAAAACACCCAGATACAAATTTTGAATAGAATCGGATCATAATTACAAAACTCAGTTGCCATTGGATCCTCCATCTTTAATTTTCTAATTTTGATGAAGAATCATAATCTCCCATCCCAAAATCCCCCATATACAAATTTGGAATGGAATCGGATTAAGTTACAAAACTCGTCCGCCATATTGAATCTGTCATCTTGGATTTCCAAATTTTGATAAAAGAATCATTATTTCCGACTCCAAAAACCCCCTATACCAATTTTGCATAGAATCTGATCAAAATTAAAAAATTCGTCCGCCATATTGGATCCACCATATTGAATTTCCCCATTTTGACAAATGATTCATAATTATCTCCGACCTCTAAAACCTCCAGATACCAATTTTGAATAGAATCTGACCATAATTACAAAACTCGTCCGCCATAATATTGGATCCGCCATTTCGAATTTCCTAATTTTGATGTAGAAATCATTATCTCCGACCTCGAAAACCCCCAGAAATGGAATCTGACCATAATTACAAAGCTCGTCTGTCAAATTGGATCCGCCATCTTGAATTTCCAAAATTTGACGAAATATTCATAATCTCCGACCCCGAAAACCCCTAAGTACCAATCTTGAATGGAATCGAATAACTATACTCGTCCGCCATATTAGATCCGCCATCTTGAATTTTCGATTTAAAAAATAGATTACGACCGATTCTCATACCTACCGAATACGCACAAAAAATTTCATACGAATCGGTCGAGCCGCTTCGGAGGAGTTCGACCACTAACACCGTGACCGGGACAGGAGAATTTTATATTAATAGTATATAACAGATTTATTCACAAAAACTCAATTTTAACAAAGATTGGTTAACAATAAGAACTAATCGAGACACGTTCCAATACTCCAAACTAAAAACTGAAACTGCTCGGTGTCCGTTATCACTCGCCTGCCGGTCTTGATTATTCAATAACCGCATTCCAACAATGATATGGTTGATTCATTGCTGACAACTAGTTGTATTTACGGGGTGCTCCGAATATTGACGCTAACAATATGTATATTAGATTTGGTACACCATCACGTCTAGGAGATCAAGAACTATCGAAAAATCAAATAAAAAATCCAGGTCCGTATTTGAAAAAAAAATGCAGTTGATGATCGCCGCTCAAAGAAGTAAACGTCGGATTTCCAATTTGACAATACCATTTTGTAGTGGAGGAAAAGTGGCAATGATGAAATGGCATTCATTTTGAAATCTTTTCAAATAAACTGAGTAATAAATAAAAACGAGTTTCCATATTTTCCTTTTTTCCGGATATCTCCGCAAATAGTTGAAATTTTTCTAATTTCAAAGCATCAACTTTGCCCTAATTCCCCATGCTTAGCCGCGAATTTGTAACACCCTGTATAGTTTTGTTTTGGCAATTGAATGTAAATTATCGAGGACCATGCAATGTTATCAGTATAATACCGAATTATTGGCTAGAATAATGAATTGCTATTGGTTGAAACAACGAAATCGTCACATTTTGATATTGCTGACGATAAATTACAGACCCTTTTGCTTTCAAGCCGAAAACATCCTCAAACTTCTGGTCGAATCGGTTTTTGTGCCAAGCCAGTGCTTTCGTGTAGGTCTTGCCGACCAAAGTTTCTTGTTTGTTCGATGAACTGGCCGATTCGAAGACAACATCAACGGCAAACGGAACTTTTCCAGTCAACTGAATCGCCACCAAATTCGGATTTATCTTGAAGAAACAACAAGCATTACAATTATAGGCCCCTTTGGAGGTCCAGACCCTTCTGAAACATACTGACCAGGCAAACGTTCTTCTGACATACATATTATTTCTAGAAAATAGTTTTTTTGATGAATACCTATTTTTTGTATTAGGCTAGCGCAACCCGTTGTTTTCGGAACGTTGCCAAAGCTCCGAAATTAGGTGTTAGTGAGCCGAAAGCATTTCAAGCTGTTTGTTTGGTTGACACTTTTACGGTTAGAAAAACACAAACAAATACCTTTTCGGGCAATAAATCTTCTGTCACAGCCCGAGCTGCTTGAATAATCTACGCTGGTGGTTCCATTTCACACATATTTGAGAACTTTCTCTTTGCTGATTTCCTTCATACAATAGGTCGCGTGCACGAAGACCAACCCTGGAGGCAAAATATTGAAACACAACCTCATTCTTCTGTGAATTATTGAAACACAACGTCACTTTTTTATTTGGTTACAGAGGAATCAAAAGGTTGAAATAGTTTTTCACAATATTTTGGCATACGAATCGTGTTTCTTGCGTTATTCATTAATTCAAGCATGCTTTCGCATTGTGCTGTTGTACAATGCACAAAAAATGCAGCAAGAGACTAGGGAATATGATTTTTCAGGTGAATAGTAATCTCACATAGTTATCATTATGAAATGTTGTCATTCCTTATTAAAATTCCTTCTGCCTTCTGCCACTTCTGCAATACAAGCTAATGCTGCTAATAGATTGAAAATGTCTACAACACACACGATCGTCAGCATGTCAGACCAGTCCTCCCGATTGATTGCATGAATCCAATCTTCTTGCATTATTCTAGAAATTTCAGGTACCTATATTTCTATTAGCTCCTATTGCAGAAGGAATTCCGATGAGAAATCAGATAAATAACCTGATTTCAAAAATGAAAACTATATGTGAGTGACTATAGTAGGTACTTACTTTTAAATCATAATGTACCATCCGGATTCCTTCATCTTCCGCTGCAGTTTTTGTGCATTTTACAACAGCACAATGTGATGGTATGAGCGAATTGATGAATAGCGCAAAAATACGATTCATATGCCAAAATAATTGTGGAAAACTATTTCGATCATTTGTAAACAAATAAGAAAAGTGACGGTGTGTTTCAATGTTTTGCCTCCAATGTCGGTCATCTGACAGTTCTTGCACGCAACCCATTCTGACACAATTCTGACACAAGTCTGACAGAATTCTGTTGTTATTTCATGGTTAGAATGAGCAGGGGTTAGGGTTCTGAAATGAGGTTCGGTGGTCCGCTGCTGCGCTTGCCTAATACAAAAAATAGCGTGTATATCGCGATTCGAATTTTCGTTTGCAAATGTTGAACTCGAGGAAAAGTGCGCGGAAATTGGCGCGGAGAGCGAGGAGAGGAAGTCATTAGCGCACGTACAAAAAAAATATGTGGGTAAGTGTGTACTTGACCCCCAGTATTTTGGATATTTGACAGTTATTTTCTGTTTTGTTTTCCTCAAAGGATGTAACTCTTTGTGCTGAAGTAATGTATCAATTTTGAGATTAATATCTTATCAAATACGCGAGTAATTAACTAAAAACAGTTTTTAATTTCCAACTCTGACACCCTGTATATCGAATATGAAGGGCAAAAATGAAAAATGTTATTTAGAAACTCATTTTGTTTTTTTTCAAGGAATATATGGTTAATGGATTGACCTCCTTTTAGCGGACACCCTGTATATTAAATACATCACCAATTTCAGGAAGGTTATAGTTTATGCAAAGTCAGTTGGAAAAACAAAACAAAACCGCAAACCGTCGTCCCCTTTGAAAGTTCAAAGGGTGCGGCAGCGCGGCCCGACATTCCTCTGATGATCTGTTCAACTGACTTTGCATAAACTTTACCTCACCTTTTCATTTCCAATGAATGAAGTCAACTGTCCACCCAGAACTATTTTTTCGGATTTTTGTGATTTATCTTGGGAAAGTCTCAATGAGGCAAATACTGTTTCTTTGAGAAGATCTATACCAGGCACTGTGGTACTCAAAAAAGATTCATGGACCAACAAACCTATAAAAAATAAGTTGCCTTAGAATATCAGCAAATACCACATGCACAAAAAAACTGAATAACACAGAAGACCATATCGAAAATAGTTTGCATAGTTCACTCAAAAGAATTGGAATGATAAATATCAAAACAAAAACTAGCAAGTACTCTTAAAAAAAAGATTGTTATTTCAAAAGTTTACTCTTCAGATAGGTACTTACCAGTGGTGTTAGTGAATTTTAATGTGAACTCTCCCAAAGTAGGCGTTTTTCCTCTTATGCCTGTTATTTTGGTAGCTGAATTTGTAGGTTCCAAGTAACCCATAGTTTCTTCATCCAAAGCAGTGTACCATATCAGTGAAACTTCTTCATCCACCATCCTGTCATCTGCAGTCTGAAAATTGTTAATTTTTCAATCAGTGTGGAAGCCATGAGTTCCAGCCATGAGTTCCAGCCAGGAGTTCCAGCCATGAGTTCCAGCCAGGAGTTCCAGCCATGAGCTCCAGCCAGGATTTCGCCAATTATTTGAGGCGCGCGCCATACCATGTGTTGAGAATATTAATCATTACAATATTCTTCATTTTTATTTTTTATTATTATTGAAAGCTTTTATTCAACTTGCATTGAATGTATGTATGTTCAGGTGGAATCTTTGAAATCAATTTTGAAGTAGAAATCTTCAACCGATTGAGCTGAAATTTTGTATACACGTTCAGTTTGGATGACAATGCACGATAAGGTGTGCCACGTTATTCTAAATATGGCGGACTATCCAAGATGGCGAAATAGCTATTTTTTATATACTTTCACAATATGGGTATCAAATGAAAAGGCTCCTTGAGAGTAACTCGAAAAATGATGTGACGTCATTCTAAATCGAATATGGCGGACCATCCAAGATGGTGGAATGGTCATTTTTAATCATCTTCTACAATATGGGTATCAAATGAAAGGGCTCGTTGAGAGTAATTTAAAAAATAATGTGACGTTATTCTAAATCCAATATGGCGGACCATCCAAGATGGCGGAATAGCTATTTTCAATATACTTTTACAATATGGGTATCAAATGAAAAGGCGCGTTGAGAGTAACTCGAAAAATGATGTGACGTCATTCTAAATCCATTATGGCGGACCATCCAAGATGGCGGAATGGTCATTTTCAGTATACTTCTACAATATGGATATCAAATGAAAAGGCTCGTTGAGAGTTAATCGAAAAATCCAGCTAGCGATAACTAAAAATAAAAAAATAAATTAAAAGTAAAAAAAAAAACTTTTTGATAAAAAGCTTTCATTTAAAAGCTCTAAAAAGAAGAAAATGAAATGTTTCTTAATAATTTCAACTATCAACTTATAACCTCATTATACACAATTTATATGATCATAAAAGCTTGTCATGATGATCAATATTCAATTAAATTGTAATTTTGAAAATTTCATCTCAGCAGATTTTACATAATTAAATAAGTACTAGTTAATTCACACAAGTGAATTGCATGACAAACTTTTATGATTATATAAATTGTGTATAATGAGGTTATAAGTTGATAGTTAAAATTATTAAGAAAAATTTTATTTTTTTCTGTTTAGAGCGTTTGAATAAAAGGTTCAGATTAGAAATCTTTGGTATCACAGCTGATATTGAAAAGTCTTTCTTACAAATAAATATGAATGGTACTAATGGTACTTGATAATGTGTATTGTTTTGTTGGGCAAGAAATAACCCCACAGGGCCCCTTATACATATTATCAAGTACCATGACTGAACATATTCATAAAAAAACTCCCATCCACATGTATTTTGAAAATATTATGATTATTTTTCTAAATTCCAGAAGGAGGGGTCCGTGGGGTTAATTCTTGCCCAACTAAATATTGTGAGATATTAACAAATACATCATCAAGAATTATTAGAGGAACACATTCATAGAAAAAAATTCCCATCCTCCTATATTTTGACAAAGTTATGATTTTTTTTTTCGAAATTCCAAAAAAGGGGACACCATGGGTTTAATTCATGCCCGAAAAAATATTATGAGATATACACATTATGAAGTACCACAAGAGGAACACGAGGAGGAACACATTCATAGAAAAAACTCCCATCCATGTTAATTTTCAAAAGTTATGATTTATTTTTGAAATTCTTGACCACCAAAATATTGTGAGGTATACACATCATCAAGTACCTTCAGAGGAACACATTTATGTGTCCCAGTGTTCCCTGGGGCATATAACCTCCAGAAATTTAAGAAGAACACCAATTCCTACCTTGTTTCCCTTGGTTCTCACAATGTTCTCTGAACATTACAGGATATCCCTTTTCCTGGGAACCAAAAGTTGAAAAAGTTTATGATTTTTTTCCACAATAAACTGGTGCCAGACAAAATATTGTGAGATATAAAGATTATTAAGGACCCTTAGATGAATATATCAATGGTAAATAGTTACATCCACTATCCAGGGACATATTTGGGAGGTTTTAGTAATTACATGGCCAGCCAAGAGTATAAATTAGTAATAAAGGACCATTGTTGGCTCAATTGGTGATGTGGTGGCCACCTCGCTGGCCACCTTGAATAATTGGGAACCTCATGGCTGGAACTGGAGCCTGATAATTATTCAATGATTCCAATATCATTTGAAAATAAATTAGTTTAGATGATTTTGTGGAATTACTTACTGAGAAATCTACAGAAATTCTGGAGGTCCATTCCCCACCTCTGAAACCTCCAGGCCTTTTAACAAAGGATGTCAGCAATCTGAATGGTCCATCAATTATTTCTTGAATACCAAAGTTGTGAGCATCATGTTGAAGCCAGCCAAATTTTTCTAGATTATCACTCTGTTCACACCAATGCCTACAAATCATCATTTTAGCAGGGCATTCAGGACTAGTGAGCACATTTTTGCTGAATCAAAATGAATTTAATGTCACCTAATACCATCCCCTCCTAGTCTCAGCTGTCTTGGGAAATACCACATAAGTCCAGTTACCATAGAGTGAGGTTCACGAGTTTTTAAACCAAAATAGGTTCCAGGTCTGTAGGTACCCCAAAAAAGATCAGGTACATCCAAGCCACTCTTTGTTACTACCTAAAACCAAAAATAGCATCAATAGAAAATTTGAGAATTTGAGGAGCACTTCAATTCACCTTTTTGTCATCAAGGGGAGTATTGACTCTCGTCTCAAGGTAGCCCATATAACCAAAGCAGACTGCTATACTTAGAACTGTCCCTACTATGAAATGTTTCCAATAACTGAATAGATTTGCTTTCTTGCCAGGTTTCCCATTGAAAGTACTGCTGCCATTGCTACTACTACTATTTGTACTTTTATCTGCTTTATTACCATCCGAAATCACTTGGGATCTACGTTGGCGGACCATTTTCAATTTTTTAGTAGATATGAACTAACCTCTGTATTCCATCCTCAAATTATCCTTGATCCTATCACAGAAAGCACCACTTATTTATAAATTGGATATCATCAAATCACCATAATCTAGTCATTCTCGTCAACAGTTTTACATAGATAATGAGAAATATTTTTATAAATTTTATTACAGAAAAATAATTTTGGTTATTTTATGAGTTGCATGCAAGTTCTGTCAAATGACCTACCCTGGAGGCAAAACATTGACACACAACCTCACTTTTCACCAATGTGATTTTGGCTGTCAAAGCTACCGGGAGTACCGACCCAAGGCTATTCAACTCTATATAGAAGTTAATAGTCCTTGGTACCGACCGGCATATGAGTACCGGGTGGCTTCACTCTTCATGAACGTCTCGGGGCAGGGCTGTAGAAAGGTGTTGGCTTCACCGTTTCATGATCGCCTCCGGACAGGACTAAAAAAAAAAGTGTTGGCTTCACTGTTTTATGAATGCATCTGGGCAGGACTGAAGAAAAGTGTTGACTTCGGCGTTTTATGACTGCCTCTGAGCAGTACCGTGGAAAAGTATTGGCTTCAGCGTTTCATGAACGTCAAGGGGCAGGACCAATGACGGCTAGATATCTAGACTGTCTGACGGTGGATGGCCTATTAGAAGTAGGGTCCCTTGATGGAAATTGACATTAAAGTCATCTTTACAGGGTACGGACAGATCCTCGTCTCCTCTCACTCTAAAGTGTTTGTGAAACAGTTATATAGTTCCATCTTTATTCATTTCTGGGGATAAACACTAGATTCTTGACATTTGTTGTTTTTTAGGTTATATTGAGGTCACTGGCGTATCATACGTAATTTCTATATGGAGTTCCTGATTCAACTATACCAAAATATAGATGAACAATCCTCTAGTTTAGAGTTCACTACTCCAGCATAATTTTTGCAAGGTAGGGAACATATGAATTGGACTGAAAGCTCACCAAAAGAGACTGTTCTTAGCCCGTATACAAGGGTTGACTGAATTGACTGAATGAATTCTAATTTCAAACTGAGTAGTACTTTATCTATATGAGCTGAATGAGCTCTGAGCCTTATGATTGAGAAATGGTGGAAACCTCGATGTGAGTATCTAAACTACTATACTCATGTAATGTGTGCTAAATATATTTTCGGAAATCCAACTCGAAGAAGAATTTATGGAGAGACTAATATCACACTATGTATAAAACTTCGTCTAGGACGAAAAGTAGGCTGATAAAAAGTAATACGTGAAATGTGCAGGGAAATAAAGAATAGAATATACTTCACCTCCATGTTATACATATGATTCTTCCGTCTCCCTTAGATAAAAAGTCATTTTCAAATAATGTATTGATGAAAGTAACAAACAAGTAGGTATACGCAGTATAACTTATAGGCAAGTTATTTTCACTCTTGCATCCTACATATTTTCTATATGTGGTAGAGTAATAATTATATAAACTAATTATTTCGCCATATTGGATCCGTCATCTTGGATTTTCCAATTTTGACGGAACAATCATTATCTCCTACCCTGAAAACCCCCAGATATCAATTTTGAATAGTATCGGATCTTCATTACAAAACTTGTTCGCCATAATGATCTTCCTCAACAAGTAAATACCCTGTACATACCTACTATTGGAATTTTGTAGCGCTCATGGATGTGACGTGACAGCAATGTCAGGGATGCCAGTAGACAAAACTAAAGTCTCTAGATCATTAAAAAAGAATGCAGCTATGATCTGTCCGTACCCTGTTAAGATGACTTTAACGTCAATTTCCATCAAGGGACCCTAATTAGAAGTATCTGGAGAACGAAAAGGCAGAACATTCTGAAACTTGGGATGCTCTGATAATTGAGCATTCTCTATCCATCTGAAATATTTTCATCGTTATTTTAAATGGTTAGCACAATGTATTTTATTGCATTTTTAGATTCTTCCTGAAGAGCTGATTTCATCAATGCATCACACTTGTGGTCTAGCAGAAATGATTTCAGAGATATAGGATGTTCAAAATCAAGATTTTTGGATTTCAGGATTTTTTTGTGTCGAAACTATTCATCACAACATATATATGTTCATAAAAACTTTTCTTCTCAAAATGACCTAACAAATCACCCCCTGCAGTTAGGAAACACCCTGTATAATCTTGGTCTCTGGGTAATAATGATATTCTCTACTTCCTTGGTGTTTAAATAACTATTATTAAACTAGCTTCCATTGAAAAATGCCAGCTTACTCAACTAAAACCTATTTTTCCCACAAAATCATATTTGTAACATAGCTCCATCCACTTGCCCCTTCTATTATGACTTGCCATGCATGTACTAATCTACCAAAATGCTACCATGCTTTACCCTCACACTGCAAAAACTAACTTGATACCTGGAATACCTACACAGGTTGATGAACAACCTACATATTTTGGATATTATGAAACATGATTCAATCAATCCAACTCCAATTAATTTAATAAAATAATATAAGCAGATGATACATATCCAAAAAAGCACATATTTTGGATATAAAATAGCATTTTTAATGATTATTCCAACTTCAATTTAACAAATAAAATCATACAAGTATTATCCTTGGCATAATTTTGATGATTTCACAATACTGAGAGTACTATAGCAGATGCCACAGCCAGTGATAACATTAAATATCCTGTAGCATACACCTCTCTAATTGTAAGGAATTTCCCAGTATCCCAAATGAGATGACGAATACCATTCCAGAAGTGGTATGTCAGAGGGAAAGCCAATGTGAATTTCAGTGCACTGATGGCCAGTTCTCCAAGTTGTAAGCATTCCAGATTTTCTATAGCATTGGGAATCAACTCTGGTGAAGCAGCAGCAGTGAGTCCAAGAGCAATTGTGTATGCTGACAAAGTCATGCCTGTAAATCTATGTGTTATGGACAACATGCTAGTCAATTGTGGAGCATATATTGTTAAATGTGGTGACTGTGGCCTTCCTAATTTCATATTCCTTTCATCATGACCTTCTTCTCTTGGAACATCAGCTGATCTTGCCTTCAGAGTAACTGGTCGTATAAATGAGAGTCCATTTTTACTGTCACCCAGAATTTGATTCACACAGCATCTATTAGCAGCTAACCTGAAAATTACATAATACCAATTATAATATTGTTTATAATTCAATGCAACCAAAATACTACATTCACTCTGAATGATGGAATTAAAATGGGTTTTGTATTGAGTTCAAATTACCTGAATATCAGAGACATATTATTCAAATAATTTTAATTTGCTGTAAATATGATAATTTTCATCAGTTCTGTCTGCTCTGTTGACTGTTTAGCAGAAGTGACAGAAGCCAACTAGCAGAAGTGACACATATTAGACATATTAGTAACAACTGACGACAGAGACTTCAAATCAAAGACGTCATGTCAAGAATAGTAGGGTCTTTGGTCAATTATTAGCCACAGTCACAGAACTAAAACTAAACAAAACAGTAGGGGCGTGTTTTTCATTCCATCGAAGAAAGTGCGCATTGATAGATGCGGTTTTTTGTCGTGACGTCACCAATTGTTCTGATGAAATTTATGCTGGAACGATGGAAGACTGGATTATACAACACATTGATGGAAAAAAGGATTTCGTTGTGTGTCAGTCGTTATGTATCTTCAGAATTAGAAGAAGATGATACCATTTTATTGATTGAGACATTTCTCCATATTCTCAAAACTCTCAACAATCTCAAAATTCAAAAATTCCTCTATATTTTCAATTAACAACGAGAAACAATACGTAAAATGTGTCAATTGTCATGTCAGTCTCCTCCAAACCGCTGGATTCCCGCAAAGCGATTTGAAAGTGCGCATTTTATTACAACAGTTTGATGGATTTTCAACAACATTCCAGCGGAACTTTGCAACACTACGATGGATTCTTCAATTCATGCGCATGACAAAATGTTGGAATGAAAAACACGCCCTAGCAGTAGCTTTGATATTTCGATTTTCGAATGTACAAATATAGAATAGCTATACACCCTCGTAGGGTGGCAAATGGCATTTCAGGTAGATAGACACGGAAAGAGAAAGAAGAAAAAATTTAATAATAAGAAGAGGTGCAATCAGTTCATTGCAGCATTGCCAGACCTAGTACTTTCGTAGTAGATTCATAGTAGATTAGGTAACTTTTCACTATGTCTAGTTTGACGATTGCAAAATTCGTACGTTTTCCACGTTTCTACTTGAAATAATGAAATATCAACAGTACCGAAATGAACCAAAGAAAAGTTCACTTCAATGTGCAATATCAGTGAAATGTCATTATATTGTCTTCCATCCAAACGAAATCTTGAGTTTTGTAATTATGTCTCATGTCTGTACTATGCAGTTAATATTACGTCTCAATTAATATTGTATTAATTTTCTTGCATGTCTATTAATTTCCCTTCGCCCCCCACCAAAAATTCCATAATGTATTGTCACCGAAATTATGAACACCTGCCAAATTCCAAGTTGATCGGAGTTATGAGATTTTTGTTGAAATTAAAAAAAATGGCTGCTCCAAGATGGCGGACAAGATTTGGTCCGATTCCATTCAAAATTGGTGAGTGGGGGTTTTTGACGTCGGAGATCATGATTTTTTTGTTAAAATTCATTAATTCAAGATGGCGACTTCCAAATAGTTTTTTGTTTTTGTATAAATGACGATAACTCCGTTAGTATCAACACAAAACTATAACTGCGACACATCATCTGTAAGAGAAAAAAAAGTATTGATAAAGACTCGTGCATTAGGTACTCTTCTCCTAGGGAAGCGATTTCTGTATTCCCGAACTGCTGCCTCTGCGTTTCCATTACAATATCCGTGAACGAAATGAATATCTGCCATACTCTTCAGTACTAAATCCCATAGGCATATTGACAAACGGCGAAATTGGAAGAAAATTATTACACTTTCTAATAAAAACACGGAATAACTCCAGTTTGTTATTACTTCGACAGAACTTTCAGAGTGACAGTACATATAAACAGTGAACAGTGAGCAACTGAGCATAGCCTATTTCTTTAATTGATATCAAGTAGTATTATATTACTTAAAAATGTTACAAAATCTTACAAACGAGTATTTTTTATTGAAATTCGAAAAATAAATGAAAAATAATTACTCGAAAAATTTGTGTAATTATTACCTTCGCACCCCAGATTCAGCCGTCACTGAATAGTTTTTATGAATAATTTTCATTTTATCTAATAAAGCTCCAAAAGTTTAGTATCTGTGAAAAATTTCCTTAATTTATATACCGATTTCAACTTTTGATTAAAAAAATATATTCAGAAGCGTATTTTTGACACCCAATATCTCGAAAAGGAAGCGTTTATAAAAGTATATGTTCATAGGAAGTTTCTTTATTATTTCAACGAGTACTATACGCTGTTGAATTTTCCGTACTAAAAACCGGACCACCCTGTATATCAATTCCCGAGAAAATTGAGACAAAACAAAATTGTCAATTTTTGTTTTCATGTGCTATAGTGATCCTTTCATTTCGGGAAATAGAAAAAATACTACATGGACATTTCTTCTTCTATATTGTATGTAATTCGACCTCTGGTACTATCAGATCTTCGATACAAGGTTTCCGTTCATTCACTCTCGTGAGAGCAATTAATTATCGTGAGATAACAGAATGTGGGCCACTCTGTATACTATATTTCATCGAAATGGGAAAGCAAAACACAGTCATATTTCCATTTTTATAGACATCATCTCGGACAACATGTATATAATACAATATACAGTTATGAGTTATGGTGATAATTATCTATTATCCAGGTATACAGGGTGATTCAAAAGTAAGCGGCATCCTTTCAGAGGCGTATTCCTTGCATGAAAATAAGGCAAAAAGTTCCTATTGATAAGGATCCGAAAATGCTTCCTAAGGGAGCTACGGCCCTTTGAATAGGACACCTCAAAGACGGTTTTTTCTCTATAACTTTAAAATCCTTCACAACAAATTTTTAAAAATTGGTGTACGGCATAAACATTCGATGGTAAATAGGACTCCGTATTCGAAATAATTTCCAAACGAAATCACAGTAACCTGAATATCCGGAGAAGAAGGGATATTTTTACACTTACCCTCTCCCGCATGTGACGCCCCTGAATGAAATTCTGAAATTTCGAATACGGAGTCCTATTTACCATCGAATGTTTATGCCGTACACCAATTTTTAAAAATTTGTTGTGAAGGATTTTAAAGTTATAGAGAAAAAACCGTCTTTGAGGTGTCCTATTCAAAGGGCCGTAGCTCCCTTAGGAAGCATTTTCGGATCCTTATCAATAGGAACTTTTTGCCTTATTTTCAAGCAAGGAATACGCCTCTGAAAGGATGCCGCTTACTTTTGAATCACCCTGTATATAAATTAATTGATGTAACATATATGCTGACATCATGTTACTGCCAATGCAGGTGAGTTGTTCATTACAATATACTGAGCGACACAGACTCATGCGTACACCCCCCTTACCAGGTAGCACATTGACGACCAGAGGACGTGCTAATTTGGTCACAAAACTGACCAAATGACCATTGTCTTCATCAAAGTGGGATAATAATAATAATATATCTCTAGAGAAAAACAAACAGGTAGGTAGGTATATTGAAATGAAAAAAATAAAATAACGTAATTCGCCAGTGAGCATTATCAATAACAGTCTTGCATATTTTCGATCACAGTATTTCTTAATTTTAATTATCTGTACATAATATTCATATGAGAAGGTAGATGTATACAGGGTGTTTCATAATATATGCGCAGGACTTCAGGATGTCATAGCTCGCTCAAAAACATGAAATGAAGTTTCTATTAACTTACCCTCTAGAATGCACATTCGAGATTCCGGGTGTTGAAATTTAAAATAAAAATCGTTTTTCGCGAATATTTCTGGAACCGTTTATCTCATAGAAAATAGCTTTCGTGAGCAATTTCTACTCATAATAAGCTGTGTTTTATGCAGATTTTTTTATTCTTTATGTCATAATTGGTAGAGATTTTGAGTGAGTGTTTTCCTCCCCAACTTCTACGCCACTGGAAAAAGTACAGTTTTGGGAACCCCATTTGAACTGCCAATATTTTTTACACAAAAAAATATTCTTGGTCAAAGGCTCTAAATTTGACCGTTTTCTAGAAAAATCAACTTTTATATAAATAAATAAGAATAAATTCCGCTTATTATGAGTAGAAGATGCTAACGACAGTTCCAGAGATATTCGCAAAAAACGAATATTTTTTCCAAATTTCATCTCCCTGTATCTGGAAAATGGTGCATTTTAGACTTTTTTATATTTTTGGACGAGCTATCAGATTCTGAAGTCCCGCGCATATATTATTATGAAACACCCTGTATAACTAGGTACCTTTCTGAATTCCTATCGAGTAGTAAGTATTTATACCTTATCGAATTTACATCAAACATGTTTCCTAAATCTATATAGGTATTCTTTAAATTGAAGCGTATTTCCCAAATATAGTGGTTGTTGATTTCAACTACTATTTAGACGATAATATTTAGTTATTATGGACAAAACTCAAACTTTCAAATTTGATTTGAATGATTCGCTATTGGGTTCATATGAATAGTTAGAGTTATATACAAAAAGTGCGAAAAAAACTTATTTACACTCTATACATATATTCAGATTGAAAATGAGTGTAGCATATTATACAGGGTTACTAGTTATTCGATACATTCCTATGGAGATGTGATAGGGGTGGTGGTGAGGGGTGAATTTGACCCTATAATATATAATATATAAGTTTTTCTGTTTTTCTCCAAAAGGTAGACTTCGAGGGTTAAAGAGTTAGTTTCCCGAAAACCTGCTGTACAATTTCTCAACCTTTCAACTAGGATACCATGATCAGCACTATAATCTTATGTTTGGGATGGAAAAATTCCAGAAATAATTCAGATTATAAATAAATTGTATATACAAAGTTGTATTTGTTTGTGAATTGCTAATTTTAGGATTTCAACACTTTTTAGCGGGTATTATTTAGAAACATCTCAGAGCCACATTTGTCACAAATTTGTTAAAACTGCCTCAAGGCAAAACGTAGTTGAAAAACTTCTTATAGTATTTACCTTTTAAAAATCCTTCTCGAAGTGGGACCTCTATCACAAATACATGTTCGGCAGAGTCTTTTTATTTCCGTCTTTATTGTTATCCAAGTTGTCAGATTATTTACACACCTCCAGAGGAATATGTATCGAATTATCAGTAACCCTATGTGGCAGTCTTTCACATCAAAATATTATTATGCTTTTGGTCTTATATTGATTCAAATGAAATTTTATTATAAAGACGTGATACAATTCCGCATACCACATCATGTGGAATGATTTTCACGCTTTCTTAAAATTTGTACAGGGTATGAATTTTGAAATTCCTCCCTTCCCCCTTCATTTGTTTTTTCAGAATAAAAATAACGTGTTCAATACGAAAGTTGGTTGTAGCGATATAGTATTGATATTATACACTCAGTTCCAAAAAAAGTTACGCTCTTGATATTTGACCTATCTTCTAAAAAAAATAAAAATAGTAGTAGAATAAATCATGGTTCGAGTTATTCCACCACCATCAAGGCTTTGTAAAAATTAAATTTTTCTAAAGACAAATGCAATACCTACCAACAAATAAAGGAAAAATAAAAGTCGGCCCACTATTTTTTTTTCTAAGAAGATATGTCAAATATCAAGTGTGTCACTTTTGTTGGAACTGAGTGTATATTATCGATATTATCGATAAACCGATACTTTTTTATCTGATTTTTTATCGATGAATCGATGAATTTGCCAGCCCCTAGTGAACACGACGACTTAATACAATTACAGCGAAGACGTGCGCTTATTCCCCCCGTCTTCCACCTTGCCGCCCCCTTCCCTCCTGTCGTCGTCCGCCCTTCGTCAGCCGCCCACGCCCGCCATCATGCACATGGCCACCCCGATGACTGCCTCCTTCTGCTGCTGCCGCCGCATCATCGCCGCCCCCTTGTTGGTTTTGCGGGGACGCCGTCACCTGCCCACGCTGTCCGAAGGTTCGGTGCCCTCCTCCTCCTCTTCCTCCTCCTCCACCTCCACCTGCTCAACCGAATTCATCATTGAAAAGGAATATTCTCAGATACAGAGTGTGTTACAATTTGGTTCACCCCAACTTTCGTATTCCTAGAGCGATTTGGATTTTTTTCACACAGTATACTACTCAAAATTTTCTCTACTTTTTCGAACAAACGAAAATTATCAATCACAATTTCTTAGCCTTCTGCGATCACTAAAGCTCCTGCAAAATTGAATAAAACGGATTAGGAATAAAGTGAATCATATTCAAGAATGTGTTGATTTTCATACGAAAACCCTAGTACTTCTTTCGAACGAACAAGACTCTGACCTTGAAATCATTGAGAACCCCATTGAAAATACACCTACTAAAGAACCGACAATTCCAGGAAACCCTAAAGAATCGAACAACGAACCTGAAACTACTCCACCAGAAGCAAAACCTCCGAAATGTCAATAGAAAAATACAAGACGAATTCAACAGAACGACATATCTGATAGACTATTCAAAAGTTCAATATTCCCAATGCCGTATACTGGACAAATCTAACACACATAATCATTCCTACAACAGCATAGACTCTCTCAATTTTATTATGACATCATCGAAGATCTTCTCGAAGAATACTATGACTTTCAAAACCTCATAATTACTATCCTTTCTAAATCAATCGAAAACCGAAAATACCAGCTTTATCGACTTCAAATCATTCCTATATTAGACAACATTACTGGTTCACATCATGTTCTTCCAATTTCACCAAAGTATACCGCGACAGACGATGATTCCTGTGGATGTTCGTACCAAAATCAGCGACATGGATCAGATTGTAAAGCTGTATTTACTAGAATGAAGATGTGTTCCAATATATTTCTATACCGAATAGACAATACTACCATGCATGTGTGAAGCCCATGAGAACATTCCATAAAGAACAAGAAAACTGAGTGCCTTCATACTTAGTCAAGGATATGAAGTCCTGATACTAGCCGAAAACTATTGGTTAGCGATTCTGTCACAACCCATACAGATAACAATAAATTGAACCACGAAGGAACCAGACACCAGAATCCTTCACAAGAACTCTCTATTCAGCCTCAAAAATGATTGCAGTGCCTTTATTGATATTACCAACATTCAAGCTACTTCGAAAAAGACTAGTATTTCGTACGGAACCTATCCAGTCAAAATCCAGTACGAATGTTGCAATTACCTTCCGAAACAAGCTGACCTGCCAGATTTGAAACCATTCAAATTGAGTGATTTGAATGTCCATGACCTAGACATCGCCAAACACAAACTGAAGACGTTGGACGACCAACCAATTGTGGACAAAAACATTTCCTGGTTCACATACATATTCTGTGAGTGTAGAAGAATGAGAAGAATAGTGAAAAATGGTTCATCCGATCCGCCATCACCTCCGCCTAGAGGAAGCAACGCCATGCATGAAAAGTATTCGAGTCATGTTTCCAATAAGACGACCCATTTTGAGAATTCAGACGAGTTCAGAAGAAAAACAAGGAGATTTCTTCATCGAACCCGACGCCTAGGTTTTCAAGTCCGAAAAGTTGTCGATGTAGAACATCGACTTTTTCAAAAGAATGGGAGCTGTAATATGAATATTCCCATCATATACCTAGAATACTTGTACAAGTACCATCTTAGGAGTTTTATTTTACTATCGAACATCAACTTTCATACAAGTTGATGTTCGATGATGTTACTGATGACTTCAAGGTTCAAGTGTCTGCTGACTCGACATCTTCAGAACTTAGATGCTATTTTTATATTGCATTTTATTCTCATTTTTTATTCCATTCAAATTGAAGTTCAGTCAAATGAATTGTTTAAGAAGTCTGTAGTGCTTCAAGTGATTTTACATACAAAATCTGTCACTACCTTCCGGTCTATTATACAGGGTGATTCAGGTTTTAAGGTACAAACTGAAATGTGTGATCCATCTCATAATTTTAATCAAGAAAATTTATGTAAACATGAGTCCGATCTCGATGAGAAGCGGAGGGTCGAAGTTTGATCATTTTCTTCTTTAATTATTGAAATATCTCGCGCACTAGAAGATCATCGTTTGAAGTATTCTAGAGCTTTACAGGGTTATGCGTTTTCGGGGTAGAAAGCTCTCTTATCCCTCCATCTGACATCTTTTGAACATTATATTGGGTAGTTCATTTAATTTATAGGCTTTTTTGCTCTTTGAATTTTTTCTAGATATAAATGAGGATATCGTTTCTAAAACATGAAAAATATTATTCTTGTACAAAGTTCTTCGAAAATACAATGTAGTATACTAAAATTTGCAATTAAATTCGAGCGAAACATATGCAAACAAAGTCGAGTGCAAAATTATCATATTTTAAAACGGATATGCTTATTTATATCGAAAACGGTTCGTTTCACGAAAAAGTGCAAAATTAGCCTCTGAATTGAATGATCCACCCATTTCGGTAACTGAAACATGTCAGAGGAACAAAAATGTTTGGAAGTATAAAGAAGCCTCTACCTCCGAAAACGTATAGCCCTGTAGATATTATCTTCGAAATGATTGATGGCCTTCTAGTGAGTACTAAGCGGAATATTCCAATCAATAAAAAAAATTAAATAAACTTCGAACCCCTGTAGCTCCGCTGCTGATCGAAATCGGACTCATGTTTATATGAACTTTTTTGACCAATTTCAGTTGTTACCTTGAAACCTGAATCACCCTGCATCCAGGATAGGGCTGAACACACCTCCTCCTCCTCCCCACCATCCGCAGAGTGGTCGTGATGGAGGGGCGTTTGCAGATTGAAGCTGGGCAATCGCAGCTGCCTGCCCTGCAGCTGCGAGCCCTCCGAGCCGCGACGAGAGTCTTTTTGGCCGCCCCCGGTGCAGAAGCACTTGCAGATTATCTTTTTGAAGGCGAACCTGGAATCGAAAGAATACAAGGTATACAGTGTGAAGACTTTAACTGGAATGATTTCGTTAGGATGAAGGTGAATATTTTTCCTGAAAATTCCCGACATCAGTCAACAATTCATTGTATTTACCTTCCTCTCGAAAGTAATATCGTGAATATCACTCCAGGGGTAGCTGAAACAACCCTCAACATGATTCTCTCAAATGTAACCATATGGCTTGTGACCCCTCATTGAAAAGCTGGTGGAAAGAGGAATCCAGCGAATCAGTCAGAATTTAGTTTCTCCTACGTTTCAAGGTTGCATAGAATTGAATTGAAATGTTAAAATTCAAATTTTTTTTAACGTATCAATTGCTCAAAATGTGTATTCAACAATTAATGGCAATTTTTTGCCACAACTAACTGCTATCTTCTATTGTATTCCTGTGTTTTTATAGAGCCACAAAAAGAGATTTAGTTTTTTTGCAGTATTCCCAGTTCGAAACGAAGTGTTTTTGCAAACTTGTGGAAATGCCCTATATAACTGTCATTAAAAGTCGGCATTTGGACGGAAATACGTTGAAAATATATGGAACTATTGAACTGAAATCATATTGTGATTTTATGTGACCCCGAAACATACTGCAGACTGCAATATGATCAGTACGCTGGATTCCTCTTTCAACCAGCTTTCCAATGAGGCGTCGCAAACCATAGGGTTGCATTTGAGAAAAACATGTTTAGGTTGATTCCAGCTACCCCTGAAGAATCAAACTCTCCATATTGCTCGCCAAATGTAGGTAAATACATCTAAACGTTGATATGTTTCACGAATTTTCGGAAGAATCATTCACTTCTCCAGTAGCGAATTCATTTCAGTTGAAGTCTTCACCCTGTATATTAGATGATTCTCACGTGAATGGCGCGCCCTATCGAATAAAACTAGAAGTATCTTTTTTACGTGAAAAAAACAAAATTGTATAATTTCCGAACAAAAGCACGATAACCTGAAGAGTGAACGAAAAAGGAATATTTTCGCCATAAAATATGTTCATGCCGTACACTAATTTGCGAAATTCAATTGTGAAGTGTTTCAAAGCTATAGAAAAAAAATCGTCTTTAAGGTGTCCTATTCAAAGAGGCACAGCTCCCTTAGGAAACTTCTTGACTCTCTTTTCACTAAAAAACTCAAAATTTATTGTGCTGAAAACAACAAATTCCTAAATTCACATAACATAAGTACCTGAAGTCTTTGGAGAAAAGTGCGTATATCAGAGGATTGATGGCACTGTTGCAATATCCCAACCAGAAGAGGATCGAGAATACTAATGGGTGGATACAGTTAGGACAGAATGCTCGTACCAAGTACATGGTGAAAAAGGGCAGCCAGCAAAATATAAATCCGCCAACTATGATGGCTAAAGTTTTGGCAGCTTTCGTCTCCATTCTGAACCTCTTCACCTGAAAATCAATACTAATGAGAACAAATTCAATAAAATCTTCGGAAAGAAAAACTTTGAATATTTAGGTACATTGTTTAGACACTTTTATAATGAAATGTTTCTGTTTCTATCTAATACACCGTGATTTACTAACTTGAACATACAGAAAATTATTCAGACAGTTGATGGTCTCCAATGAAGAGAAAATTAACATGATCAAAAATACGATGCAATGTACTCAAATTCTCTATGAAAATACTTTTTTTCTATGACGGGAAAAATGTTTGAAGTTTCATCTCTGTTGACAGCTTATAGAATGTCACTTACTTTTCATGAATTCCTTTTTTTCCGATGGGAAAAAGGTGAGTACTTTTTTTCCCACGAAAAAAAGTGAGTACTTTCTTCTCGGATATATATTACGTATTATATTGTTGGTGGCTATTATTGTGCTAAAATTCCGAAAAATCAGCCAATAACACCGACTCCGAGAAAGAACTGCAACTCCTTTTATATTCCATTCGACTTCGCGGTTACGTGAATTACTAGACAACCACTGAATTCGCAGTTTTTCAAAATCAAATCACAGAATCAGACTGAGAGATATTTGATAACTTCGAAGAAATTATGAAGATGCCTGCAACGCAGGTGTCATTTCTGTTGAGAACTCAAAAATTTTATGTCGATAATTTTATGATTTCAATTTGATGTACCATCTTCTCGAAATTGATTCGCCTTTTTTTCCCTGTCATAGAAGAAAATAGTGTATTATAAACGGAAAAAATATTAGATTTTAGCTGACGGTTTTTTTTGTTTTCCTCCGCTTCGCGCCGGGAGACAACAGAACCTGGAGCTAAAATCGACTACTTTTTTCCCTTGTATTGTATAATGAATAACTATAATCCACACCCACCAACTTCCACGACCTGAAATTTGAGCTCTCGGTCTGTATCAATTTGAATAATGAAAATAATTTTTTCAACGATTGAACCATAAAAAAGATTGAACGACAATTTTATGAAATACTGTATGTGTATGGTAGGTGATTGCGCCAGGAATGAAAACAAAATGACTCGGTGATGAATAATAATGTACTCGGAAATGTAGGTACTCGTTTTGATGGAAGCAACTAAAATAAATTACCTCGAATTGCTCAAAAATTTCACGGGTGCTTTCCTACACAATATTTTCTCTATGTTTTATATAAATCACGTTGTATATAGTTTTACATTCCGGCCAATCAAGGTGAAGCCTATAGAGAATATCAATATCGAAAAGAAATGATACTAGAATAACTTTTTTGGATACCTGTCTCGACCTGTTCACTAAGAGATTGTTTTAACCACTCCATTTATATATCGAGACGTCTGAATATATTATTATAGGAAGTGTTGACATATCAACGAAACATTTATTTATATACCAAGGATAAAACACAGTCTATTATGGTCGAGCATGTCCAAATATTTCTTATTCTCCAAAACAAAATATCATGTGAATATTGGAGACTTGGCAACATTGTGCTGAATGCTGAGAACTGACAAGATCACACCCACAAGTCATGCGCCGTGGTTGTCACGTTCACCGATTCAAATGTCCTCTAGTATGAATTAATATAATTATTATATACAGAAAATCATCATAAGCAATAAGCCACAAATCATAAGGGAACATTTTGAGACAATTGCATTTTTATTGCTGATTAGGTATATTACCAAAACTCAATTGAGAATTAATGAATTATACAATAACTGATATTTCTGAAGTTCCCAATCGTATTTCAACGTGCTATGGTGTGCTGGTATTTACGAATAAGAGTCCGACCACGTTAACTTTGGGACAGCATGTGACGCATATGCATATTCAATGCATACGCGACCACGTGCTGTCCCAAAGTTATCGTGGTCGGACTCTACGATTTTCTTCCTGAACTACAATGATCTCATACACTTCATCGTATTCCAATTTTACTCAATTCAAAACAAAATGCAATTAAACAATAAACAAATACAATATGACAGAAATGTCAAATTGATTTCCATTCAGACTCAAATACTGTCAAGAATTGTCCATATATTGACATATTACACTTTTGAAACACATTGATTTGGAGCGAGAATAGAGAGATATACCGCCTGAAGCACAATTTTAAGAACGACGCTCTCAAGTATATGCATTCGCAGATAAAATCAATCATTTATCTTGGGAGCAAAGGTTAATTTCCTCCCATGTGTCTTCAAACTCCACACGCAGGAGGAAATTGATACTGAATGCAATTCGATAGCCTTTGTGGTTTCGAAAAATACTTTATTCAACATTGAAAGAATCAAGAAAAAATATATATTTATACAAGCGAGTTGCACTATGTAACGACTTACTCTTATGAGACAAGTCTGGAGATGTCTTGGTGTCCAAACTGCCTCTGGTGTCTCAAACGGCTGCTCTTGGTCAGTACCTCAAGTAACTTGGTCGGCAGCGCTAATCCCATGTATACTCATGCACAATTCACCCAAAGTCCCTAGCCAAAACCGTTACTGCACAATAGCTGAGTAGCAGAAGTTGATAAGCCAACAATATGAATTTGATAGAGCAAAGCAAAGCGAGGTTTAATTACATATAATGTGCACCAACCGAGCGTCACGCGGGAGCAGAATCTCGATCAGCGTTAATGTCTCCTGCTGACCACTATCAATTACCTACTACTAAATTCGGTCGTGAAATTATGATATACTGTCATTCGGTGTAGAAGCTCATCCGGAAATTGATGTAGGGCAGCGCCACCAGGTAAATAGGTCGTTTTAGTGCAACTAATAGAAGCGCGGTCAAACTATATTAATTTCAAATAGGTATATAACAAAGGCTTTCCGAAACAGATACCTTTGCTCCTCTGATATATAAATAGCTATCGATTTGTTTGCAGTTTTTTTCAAACTACTATTTATGTTCTTTCAATCACCCATACCCACCTGCGCCTTGATATTCCTCCTGCCCATCTTCCTCGTCGAGGCGATCTTCTTGCGGGCCTCCTCGCCAGCTCGCTCGTAGGTGGCGCTGTCGCAGCTGCTCGACCGACGGGCAGCCGAGGCGCGGCGCGACGAGCCGAGGCGCTGCACGCGCAGGCGCGTCTCGTCGTGGAACGGCGGCGGCCGGACGGCGGTCGTTTCCACGCCGCCCCCGTTGCTCGAGTAGCGGACGACGGCGTACGAGGGGTAGGAGTGGTGGTGTGGGGTGGCGATAGGGGAGGTCGGACTTATCTGCATGGAAGAGAAAACGATTTTTGAAGATACTGTTGTTTTCATGTATGAAGTGCTATCAAAGCAACTTATCTCAATACGGAATTGCTCCGTTTCGATAAGTACACTCCAAGGAAGAAATTGTGAAAAATCCATTCTTGCACTGCTAATTCACTGACCAAATGACATCATCATATAGACGAGAACATGCCGTTACATAACGGAGATGGCTCTAGCGCGCTGATTTGGCGTATCCAAATCCTCCATTTCTCCCAGGGGTGCTGTCGGTATAAGTCGAAAGATGGTGACCGGCAGTCATCCCCTATGGGAGTCTTGTGAGAGAGGGGTGCGATTTGGTCCCACCCGGTTGCTACCCCGGCAACATACTGATTGATTGTACGCCCACGCCGATGCTTGAATAATAAAAGCAATTGTTTCACTACTTTTCATAACAAACCATAAACAATAAATGCGTATTTCTCAAAAATGAGCGTTTCCTTCATTCTGAGTTGAAATCCCATTTCACTCCCAAATAACACGATGATGAGGGTCCTGCAAATGATGTTACATTATTCTGAAAAAAAAAAAAATCGGGAAGTTCCTGAGGTAACTCCGAGTCACAGCTGCTAGGAATATTCCGGCCATATTTTTAAACTTATTCCCGGGAGTGTAAGGGATAAGTACAGATTGTTTAAATTTTTTGGCGATATAATTATTTACTTTCCAAAGAATGCCAGACAGAAAAATTGTCCTAGAATATTCTCCTAATACATTAAAAAAGAAGAATACAGGGTGACTTATTTGAGTGCCAATAATATAAGGTGTGAATCCTCGGATAATTTTGAGGAGAAAAGTTTGTTTCAACATATGTTCTAAACCACTCAGTTTTTGAGCTACAGGGTGTCAAAATCAGGAGCGTACAGTTTTTTGAGCATATGTGTGATTGAAAATATCAGCATCTCGGTAATCAGTATATTCTAAGTTGTGTATTTATCAACACACTTTTATTATTTTATTTTCTTCTCTACTCTTCTTAGTTTGGCTATATATCAAAGGGTGTTTCCTTGTTTTTCAGACTACTATCTATCATGAAAATAATTTCGAATTGCCCAAGTGAACATATAATCTGTGAACGAACATAGAAAAATATCTTGTGGACTGGAATCGATGCGGAAGGAAGTAAGGTGAAGGTTATCTCGACTGCTAGATTACCCGTTTTCCTCGAATCAGCTCGACTGTGTGCATTTCCTGTCTCCGAAATTCATGTGACTATTTGCTTTTAGATTTCTCGATGGCTATAATCCGAATCGGAACAGTTAGTAATGAGTCCGTATTGAAGATATTTCGTTTCTATGATTGAATGGCAGACTCGCAAAGTCGCACAGCATTCAGAGCAAGCTGGAGATGACGTGAAGATCAGCTATTTCCAAGAGATTCGATTTGCCGAACGATATACAATATTTCGCACTACACTCGACTATATTATGGGAAATAATTATCGGGAAAAATATCAGATTCAATAGCAAAAGTGATATATGTACTTGTTAGTTGTTTCTAAAAAATCTGACCCCCTTTCTAGGGTAGGTGAAACACTACAAAATAAGTTGTGTTTGCTCAGTAAAAAAATATCGTCGCGGCATCAGTTTTCATATATTAGGCAAAAAGTGAACAGCACTTAAATGAACTAACAGCTGATCATCAACCGTTTAGAAGAATATTTCATAACTAAGAAAAAAAAAATGGAATCCTGCATTCGTGAAAACGGAGGATATTTTCAACACTTACTCTAACTGATTCAATATTTTATTATGTTATTAGTCAAATTTTTCTCAATTTTCTCCTTGCGATTATCTGTTTGATCAATATCTCTAGCACAAAAAGGATGATGTTCTTGATTTTGAATCTGAATGAATATGTAAATGTCAATGAAATTCATTTTATACCAGCATCAGCTATTACTCCATTATTTCCAAATCAAAATATTGCGTTAACCGTACAGAGTATTGAGTTTTATCAAAGTTGACTTTTTGATGTCGAATTCAATGATGTTCATGTTCACGTCAAATTCGTATTGGAAAATCTAACCTCAAAAGAGGTATGTTTAGAAATACTCGATACGCACCGCGTAACTAGCGCCCTCTATAAGAGTCAGATATAGAAACGAATTCATACGATGTGTCCCGTTAGGTTAGATTATTGAATATAAATTCAATAAACTCACCAAAAAATTTAGTGAGCACCGAAATTCTATTAAGTATTTGAACTGTTAGAAACGATAGATATATACCTATATAATGAACACACTTGTGGAAGACCTACGAACTCAATGAAATGATTATAAGTATATCAAATTGGAATAGATATGACGTTTGCAGTTTTGTCAAAAATGGTGTTTTTCGTATTACCGGATATATTCCATAATCCCCGACATTAATCTGGAAAAACATGTTTTCAACATCTTGTATCTTCAAAAAGGATGCCATTACGATATTTCGTTTACTACATACCCTAGTAAGGGAGTCAGGTTTTTATGGAACTTCCTGTATAGTGTCCTGTGTAGGAGTTGTTACCAACTCAATACGCCACCCAAGTACAAGCACTGTTTATTTAAATACAACAATGAATCTAGCAGGAATATTTCAATCACGCTATACAAAACTCAAGAGTCAATAAATTGAATTAATTAACGAATGATTACTTCTGTTGCTAACGAACCAGGCCATACGAACAAATATTTATAACTTCATAACGAAATGGAATGAATTCGAGAATTCAGATAGCTAGCTGGTAGGTTTATTATGGATTCAGAAGTCGAAATGTCACATTCGACTGAATATTTTACGAAGACTAGAGCTGAATTTCAAATGAAGAAAAATTGTTGAAGTAACTTCAAGAAGTGATGGGGGCTACCGTTTTATTTTATCCTAGTCGGAATTGTGGATAGGTATTTCATGATTCGTTATTTCCATTTCGTATCTGGAATTTTCCAGTTTCATTGTGATGCCTGACACGAGTTCAGTGAAGGAAAATTAGTGGATATAACAAAATCAACATTTAAATATGATCCTTTTTTCAACGTGCTCTATACAATAATAGAAATGGTTCATTCTCTTGTATTGAAGACAAACTTAATTTAACTGCTGATCAATTCACCTACAACAAGCACATTTTTCACTGAAGGGTAAGAAGTAATCGCTCATGGATCACGTAAATTCATAAACTCCTAAAGTTTCTCTGAATATAATTTCCATCGACCATGGGGTATGAAAATGTATATTCATTCTCTCGTTTTTTGTGGAATCTTCAGAAAAATTCCTGCCGTTCATCTCAAACACTTTATGAGTTGATCAATGTGTTGTGCTTGGTTTTCCTTTATTAATATTCATTCATAATTTCTGCAATGCACTCTGGACCTTTTCTTCAGGTACGCACCCCCTCAATATTTCAATTGAATTGCACATCTGAGATAATTAAATTGTACATCTGGGATAATTGAATTATGTTCCAGAGACGAGTAATTTATGTTCCCAGGACAATTGAATTATGTTTCTGGAATAATTATATTCTTCAGTGGTAGTGATTAAAAGAAGTACCCAACATCAGTTAGATATATTTCAGAGAATATCACCTATTTTTATGCAACAGCATGCTTTTCAGCCTGTGGCAACTATATATTATTCAAATTTTATTAAACTGTTGAATAGCTATCTTCGAAGTATGAACCTACAATAGGTGAAGGAGAGTCTGAGATAATACAGCAATGTTTCAAAGGGAATTATTTAATGTTTAATGATAATTAAACTGTCTAATCAATGTTATCCAACATTCTAATAATCGTGAGTTGATTGTAAATATATTTATTCATTAACGATCAATGAACTATATAATTGAGTGTCTGTAGCAGGTATACCAATTCAGGAAAATGATTTCATCTACCACTATCAAACTGTATATCTGTCTCAAATAGTATTTATGTTTTCAACTGAGGCTGTTAAATGTTCCAACTGCAGCTATTAAATGTTCAATAACCATGGACAGTAGAATCTGTTGACGTTTTCGCATGTCATACATATTGTCTAAAAAAATTTTAATTTCATACTTTATCTTAATATGGCATTATTCAATTTTGTTTTGGAAGGATGATAAAATGTGCTGCGTTAGGTTGTATCAATCAGTTGGATGGCAAATTTTAATTTGTCAGCTTTCCATCAAATGCAAATGAACTTAGAACATGGAAAGTGAAGTGACCGAATGGGAAAAATTGGTGAATACTTCAGCAAAATATTCTAGGTGGAACTGATACGAAATCATATATTATACTTTCTCATTGTGCCTATAATTATACACTCCACAAGTTTTGAATGCATTTTACTAGAAACAGTTTTAATTAAAACGGAGGATTAGAAGAAGAGTCATATGCCCTAGCATTTGAAAAATTATACCTTCATTCAGGAAATATTAAATAATGTTCAACTGCAAAAATGATTTCCAACATGAATATATACAGCACACATGACATATGAGCACAATAGTTTGAATACCTACATCAATTTTTCACCATTTCTCAATCATAAGGCTTATTCTGAAATCAGAATTCATTTGGTAAAACGTATTAAACTTCCAGAAAAATTTGCTCACCACCTCACAAAGATAATGCTGGAGTTGAAAAATCATGAACTCGAAAATTATCATCATCATTTGGATATAATATGTAGAGTTGAATGAGAAATTACATGTGGAAATTACGTATGATACGTCAATGTCCTCAATATAACCTAAAAAACAACAAATGTCAGAAATGTAGTGTTTATCCCCAGAAATGAATAAGTATGGAATTTTATAACTGTTTCACAAACACTTTAGAGTGAGAGGAGACGAGGATCTGTCCGTACCCTGTTAAGATGACAAATCGTTAGTTCTAAGAGATAACGTTTAATTTATCAGGAAACGTTACATAACCGTGAGCACTTCTACCAAAATGTAAAAAATAGTTTGATAACAACATTTATTATACGTTGGCAAATAACGGTGGGGAAACGTTGTTGAAAAACATTTTTAACACGTTGATTTCTTGACCAGCAGTTGATTTTTGTCGAAAGAATCTCGTTAAAAAAACGATCATTCCAAGGGTTTAACAAACGTATAACTTCGAGCAGTTCAACTATGAGTTGAAAAATGGTTTAACAACAAGGTATAATAAACGTTTCAAATGAAGGCTGGAAAATGTAGGTAAATAACGTTTTATTCACGTTTTTTCCCCACTATCAGTTAGAAAACGATGAAGGATTCGCGTTGAAGAAACGTTTATCTCAAGAGTTTGTCTACCGTTTTGGGAAAATGTTTTATAAATGTACGAATTTCATGGATCGTTAGGACATATCGTTTCCAATACGTGTATTAAACGTTCAGTTTCAACGTTATTCTCTTCAAGCATATATCAACGTTGAATTCCTCAACAATAAACGTCTATTCAACCTGATCTACGTTGATTAAACGTTTACAAAACGTACGTGTGCCCATTGGGATACGTCAATTTACATCAAGGGACCCTACTCACCCCCAGCAAATGGGCAGCCGTCATGTTGGACGACAGATTCTCGCTGGATGGATGGCTGACGCTGATCCTGACCTTCTCGTGCCTCGCTCTCGAGGCGGAGGGAGAAGGACTGGCGCTGGCGCTGGTCGTGGTGGTGCTGTTGCTGCCGTTGCTGTGGGGGGAGCCGCCCACGAACGGCCCGCTGCCGCCCGCCCTTCTGCCCGACGAGCCCTTGCCGCGGTGGATGCGCAAGGTGAGGCGCTGTTCGTCGAAGCGACCGATGCCTCGAGAGCCTGCAAACTCCGTGTTTTTCCAATTCGAACATTCCGTTTTCGAAAAAAAAAATCACTTATTCATTGTTTTGGGATATCAAGTATGAATTGAGGTAGGCCTGGTTTCAATTTCTATAGCTCAGACTATGCAGATTCAACTTAAGCTATTCTATGTTAGCACAAGGCTTTAAAAAATGGCCGCTGCTAGGTGAATTTTGAAATATTTTTGTGAAATATTCTATAATTCTTCGTACTTGCGGTTGATGTAACATTTTTCCATCAAACTCATCGGTCGGAATAAGAAAAGAAAAGAAAAGAAAAGTGATTTTTGATATTTTGATTAATTATAGCCTGGCCAGGATTTTTTCAGACTACCCATTTTCTAAATAATTTTCAAAATGCTAAATTACTCATGAAATAATTTTCAGCCATTAAACATATGGGTGAAGGTCGACCTTACTTCGGATTCTCTACTATCAGGCCAAGATTGACAGCGAAAAGATGTTGAATAGTACAAAAGGAGAGAATACGAGATTCCATATTCAAGACGGGCCAAGATAAATTATCGCATTTCCCTTTGGTTACATAAAATTTTGTTTGTGTTGGTTGGGCCCTCCTAGGAAACCTGTGGGGAAACGATCATTCATTTTCATTCTCTTTGGGAGTTTTGCTCCAGCGAGCATACTTATAGCCCGCACTGAGTTGCTTTATTCAAATGAAATCTTCGAGCCTTTTTTACAATTCGCGAAAAACAGCGGATAAAAGACGATCCTCGTGAAAATAAGATTAATGTTGTGTGGTGATCTTTTTATGTATGAGATGATCCAGAACTGAAGACCTGATGGCTATGTGCCAAAACACTCGGAATTGAGTTCTTTTTGGATTGAAATAAGAAAAAATGTTATCAAATAATATAATTATAATTATTATTGTATAAAATGAGGTATACATTCATTTGTATGAATTGAAAGAATATAAAAACACTAGAACTATCAATAATAGGTATGTCATGTGAACATGTATACAGGATGAGTTATAACTATTGAAAGATCCCAAGTAGCACACTCATATTGGGCCGATATTGGACCAATATAGATGAAAAATTGGCGCAATATCGAGAAATCAAGTAGGCACAATATTGGATCCAAACATTCAACATGCTATTGTAGATCGATATTGATTCGATGTTTCATAAAAAGATTGTTAAATCATTCAACAAAATATCTGAAATAATATTGATTTATAAGCATCCTACAATATTGATTTGTTGATATGAAAAAAACAATGAAGTGCGTTGATTGAGAATCATTCATCATCTCTATATATGTAACTGATGGCTCATCGATATTGACCAACAATATAGTAGGTTGAAGATGAGCAATATTCTTGGCATCACCACGTAGTGATATATTATAAATATTGACACCAAATATAGATCAATAATCTTGTTATTGCATTCATGACTGATGTTGAGACTAATTGAAAAATAAAATATCGACACATATTCAAAAGAATGCTTCAAATTATATCAGTATCTTATATTCATACTATATAGTAACTCAGACATTGGGTAGGAATATGGACGGGTTATTTATTAACAATATCTCAAACATATCGCCAAGAAATATATATTCAGTATGAAATATCAGTATGCTTAGGTATTGATGGATGATATTCATGTTTCTATCAATCAAACGTTGATACAATATCTATCCATAATATTAACAGGTGTTTCAAAACAAATATATACACATATTGAACAGTATGCTTGGAACAGAATCAATATAAAATATTCATAAAATATAGTTATGCGGATATTGGTTGGGAATATGTGGTGATCATTGAAAATTGATATTCAAGATATATTTAAGGAATATATAAATATTATATCCAACATCAATATGCTGGGATGATAGATGATCATATATGGAATAATGTCGTATTCGAAAGTTTATGGAACAATGATATTCCAATGTGGGGAGTGAATTGAAAAAAAATATTGACAAATATCAAAAATAAAGCTCAGAGCTATATCGAAAACTTATATATAGACAATATAGTTGAATAGATATTGTGATATATCTACAGAAACATATATCTTTCATATTGAACATCAGTATTATGTGATATTGATGGATCCCATTGAATAATGTCATAACTGGAAGTTGATACGAGATAGATAATGAATGAAAGTAGTACATTGATTACAAATATTGACACATATTTAAAATAATGTCGGAAATTATATCGATGGCCAATATTATTACATATATGTATGTGGATATTGGCGAATAATATCTAGTAGCTATTGAGAAAGAAGTCTACAGAAATATCTACAAACAATATCTATAACATATTGAACAGCGCCTTTTCAGGATATTGATAAATCATATTGATCATTCTCACACTTTGAAGTTGATACAACATTCTTTTTCAATGCGCGGAAAATGTCGAAGTGAAATATACTTATATATTCAAAATATTGCCCTAAATTATATCTAAGGTAGATATTCACACAATATCATCATCCAGATATTGAATGAGGATATAGAGTGGTTATCCAGGAACAATCTCCACAATATATCTTCAAAAAATTGTTATTTTATATTGAACATTCACGATGATACGATGATAATGAATCATCACGATCAATCTCTCATTTATAAGTTGATACACCTTCGATTCTGAATGTAACGGATACATTGAAAACAAATATTGACACATATTCAAAATGATGCCAGAAACCATATCGATGGCATATATTCTTACAATATATATATATATATACATATATGTAGATATTATCAGAAAATATCTAGTAGCATTTGAAAACGAATTTTCCAGAAACATCTACAAACAATATCTGCAACATATTGAACAACACTTCACAAGAATATCGATGAATAATATTGATAGGGCATTATTACATTATATTGATTATTTTCACACTTCAAAGTTGATACAATATTTATTTCCAGTATTGGTAAAACGTTGAAGGGAAATTTACATTTATACAGTCTGTCCAAGATAAGGTTGAACAGCATGGGGATCTCGAAAACGGTAAGAGATACGAAATCGGTTAAATAGGGAAAAAGTTGCGCATTCGGAGGCTCATATCAAGAGCCTTCGAAAATTTCAAAAATTATTTTTAGTTTTTGAGTTATATAGAAAAAAGTGAATTTTTGGAATTTCTATTTTATTTTTTTTCTCCGTTATTATCAGACATACAGCTAAACTGAGAATATTGTTTCATAGCAACTTTTGATGACGGTCAACGTGGTGATACCGATTTTTTCATGCGACGTTTCGTATTCGTGGAACCATCATCAACTTTTGTTTTATAAATACGGTCCTGATAATTTTTTCACAGATTCTAAAAGGTTTTTTTATTCTGAATTCAACCATGTATTATACAAGGTGGTTCATTTGTGTTTCGACCTATTTCCATCCATCATCAATGTTTTTTCGAAACTCCAAAGGGAAAATGCCATCAGTTCCACTTATTTTGAAGGAAATTAGTCAGCACAATAATACCTCATCAACTGGTTTCAATCAACAACCCATTTTATTTTGCGGAAACATAAATTCCATCCATACAAATTCAGAATATGCCAAGCGCTAAAACCAGGCGATGACGAAAGGCGCAAGACATCCTGTGAGTGGTATACCAGGAAATGTTAAAATTTTGCAGATTTCTTTCGAACAATCATCTGGACTGATGAAAGCATGGTCACTAATCATGGTAGCTTCGATAGAAAAAATACACATTATTGTTCACGAGAAAATGAACAATATACATTACAACACCGTTTCGGCTTTAATATGTGGGTTGCAATATTTGGTACACGAATTATTGTTCCTTCTATTTACCATGAAACACAGACTTCCGAACGTTATAGAAATTCGCTTGAGAATCATCTTGAGGAAGCTCTGGATGATTTACCGATTGCGGAAGTTCAGAACTCTGTTGGTTTCAACAAGATGGCGCTCCGGTACATAATTCCAGAAAAGTCCGTGCGTTTTTATCCCTTGGCCGGCGCGGTCGCCTGATTTAACACAGCTGGATTTTTTCTTAGGGGATATATCGAACTTTGTACACCCAAATAACTTTGAGGATGAAGAAGAACTAAGGGACAGTGTCTTCGAAGCATTCAATAGAATAACCCCAGAAATGCTTAGCAATGTCTTAGAAACAACTGTGATAAGAGGATATCTTTGTTCAGAAAATAATGATTATCATTTTGAACATTTGTTATGAATGTCTCTGTAGGTATTGTCAAAGTTAAGTTGTTAAAGTAATTCGTGTAAGAATTCATCAACAATTTTAAACGCTGCATTGATCGAATGATGTAGTGAAATATTTTTTATTCACTTTTCAGTATTGAATAACTAATCCATCAAGTTTGACACTAAATGATAAGAAATAAGTGGAACTGATGGCTTTTTTTCTTTTGGAAGTTCGAAAAAACATTGATGATGGATAGAAATAGGTCGAAACACATTCGAATCACCTTGTATAGTACATTGTTGAATTCAAAATAAAAAAACCTTCCAGATACTGTGAAAAAATTATCAGGACCGTATTTAAAAAACAAAAGTTGATGATGGTTCCACGAATACGAAACGTCGCATGTAAAAATCGGCATCACCACGTTAAACTTCATCAAAAGTTGCATTGAAAAAGTATTTTCAGTTTTTCTGTATCTCTGATAGTAACGGAGAAAAAAAATAAAATAGAAATTCCAAAAATTCACTTTTTTCGATATAACTCAAAAACTAAAAATAATTTTCAAAATTTTCGAAGGCTCTTGATATGAGCCTCCGAATGCGCAACTTTTTCCCCATTTAAGCGACTTCGTATCTCCTACCGTTTCCGAGATCCCCATGCTGTTCAACCTTATCTTGGACAGACTGTATACACAATATCGTCAGAAATTATATCGAATGCTCATATCCATACAATATAAGTATTTAGATATTGAATGAGGATGAAGAGATCTATCTGCACAATATGTCTACAA